TCTGCCCAGCCAGGTGATACCAGAAAGGGATGGAGCTCAGAGTCTGAGAATGGGAAGCAGGTCCAACTCATCTCAGCCACATTTCTAGTTGTGTTGAGCGAGGATCCCCCACGTTGCTGCCCCTGAAGGCCCAAGCTGTGGTTTAGCCTTCCATCAAGCTGATACCCTCAAGATGTTGCAGACTTACAAGCCCCTTACAAGCTTGCAGTTGGAAGCAGTAAGAAAAAAGCTCAACAACTTTTGTGTCTGGGATTTCACTTTTTGAGCTCTAAACTCTTCTCACCCTTGGCCATTGGCCATGCTTTGCTAGGGTTGATGGCAGTAGGGATTGAGCTCTGTGAAATTTTAGAATTCGTTAGCTTTCGAAATCACCTTGTGCAAAATGGGCTTGCTAAATCATTCAGTTTGCCAAATACCTTACAACCAAAGCCCAACTAGTTTATTGTGAAATTACTGCCATGGACCTTGACCTTTATTCGTCCCAAAAACTCCTTTCATGATTGAAAGTGCAACTTAATTTCGACTAATGTTAATCATTCATTCTTGGCTGCCAACTCCATAGGTGGTATTTCTCTGCGCCCAGTTTCTTGCATTGTCATTGTTCTCAGAAAAATAAGGTTCTCACCTTACATTTCCCCCTGTATTCACACCTTCCTGCCATCTTTCTCCTCCTCTAAAGACTGATTGCGCCACTCAGCTTGAAAGGACCACACATTCTTGGTGTCTTTTGATAGCTAAAATGTTCTGGGATTTTTTTGGTTTGTTATTGTTATTGTTATTTTTTAATAAAAAAAGAATTGGGATGTGTTGTGTTGTGTTGTTCACATTGTTAAAGGATCTTTTATACTTTTGTCCTACCTGTTGTCTTCCTTAGTTATTTTGTTTTGCCTTCCCATTTGTATATTACTTTCATGTCTCATTTTACTCACCAACCATGTCATCACTGACCCCAGCTCACCCTACCAGTCCCTGCCTGCCGTCCCCAAAATTTTATCCTGAGGCCACAGACTACCTCACATTATTTTTGTTGTTGTTTAGTTGTTTAGTCGTGTCCGACTCTTCATGACCCCATGGACCAGAGCACGCCAGGCACTCCTGTCTTCCACTGCCTCCCGCAGTTTGGTCAAACTCATGTTAGTAGCTTCGAGAACACTGTCCAATCATCTCGTCCTTTGTCATCCCCTATGCAATTTTTTTCTTTACAGCATTGGACTTTCCTTTCACTTCCAGGCACATCCACAACTGAGTGACCTTTTGGCTTTGGCCCAGCCGCTTCAGCAGCTCTTAATCTACTTGTACTTGTCTTCCACTCTTCCTCAGTAGCATGTTGGTTGCCTTCCGACCTGAAGGGTTCATCTTCCAGCGTCATAACTTTTATATGCCTGTTGTTTTTGTCCATGGAGTTTTCTTGGCAGGGATACTGGAGTGGCTTGCCGGTTCCTGCTCCAGGTGGATCATGTGTAGTCAAAACTCTCCACTATGACCTGTCCGTCTTGGGTGGCCCTGCACAGCATAGCTCATAGCTTCTCTATTCAAGCCCCTTCGCCATGACAAGGCAGTGATCCATGAAGAGGTCACATCATTTACTATAATTCAAAAGAGTCATCCGTTGCCAACAACATTAGGTTTTACTACAATCTCCCCTGCCTTGTCCCGCAATGTTCTCTTATGGGTTTGCAAGGGGTAAAAAAGATCCCTTAAAATTCCTGGGTGCCAGGTTCTCCCCATAATTTCTGAAAGCAGTAAATGTGGGGTTTGATCAATGGATTTCACAAGGGCTAGAAAATAAGTCGCTCCAGCTTCCTTAGGAGATTGGCTGAGAGAGATGCCATAAAAAACCAAAAACAGGTGATGGCAGAGCCATAACCCTGAGAAAAGGTGTCACATAAGAAGGGAAGATGTGGTTGGATTAAAGTTCCCATCATCCCTGTTCATTGCCATGCTGGCTGGGGAAGAATTGGAGTACAATGATATCTAGAAAGCTCCAAGTTCCCATCCCTGGTTTGAACAAATAGACCCATGGCCTTCAGGCCTTGAGCCTATTTGGCATGCAGAGTTCTTCTAACTGTAGCCACTGCTGATTAACGCCATGCAACCATCATTTTAAATTTTTCGCAGTGTCTGAGCACGTGCAGAGAGCCTTTCTGTCATCACCATGTTACTTTAGCCATGCATCCTATGCTACTGGCATCAGAAGACATGAGTTCTGGGTGAGGTGGGCTGGACCTTAGCAAGGGAACTGCTGGCAATTCTCGTTCTTTATTCCACATTTTATCAAGCAAATACATTCTTCAACTGTGTTGTGCTGCAGGTGTTCTTGACTCCCCAAGAGAGCAGTTAGTCAGTGGAGATTCCTGGGAAATAATAGGGCAGAGAGCAAATGATTTTTGGCCTTTGCTTACTATCTCATCTGGATGAGAGAACTTGTCGTACTTGGATCCTTTTTGCTGACAGGCAACTTTTAATAACTATTTCCAGAGAAAGGGGAATTAGCACTCTGGAGGTTTCCTTTAAAAAATGAAGTGGAAACTATAACTGTCCTCCAGTTCCGCTTGTTGCTGGCCAAAATGCAGAGAGTATTTGACGGCTGTCAGGTTCCAAGGCCTTGGTAGTCAATAGAACATGAGACCCATAATCTCAAGGTTGTGAGTTCGAGTCCCATGTTGGACAAAAGATTCCTCCATTGCAGGGGGCTAGACTAGATGACGCTTGTGGTCCCTTCCAACTCTACAATTCTATGATTCTATGACTCTAAGGCCATGGAAGCACATGGAAGCAGCAGCCCATTCCCCCACTTTTAAACATAAGAATCCTCTACCATAATCTGTCTTTGAAGGGTCCCAAAATGAGACATGAGAGCCTGGTGTTTGCAAAAGACAAAGCACAATCATATGTATGGAGTTTTGTGGGGGTTTCAAGCCCACAAAAAGCAAAAAAAATTTAGACAGATTATTATGCCTAAACCCAGCAGCAAAATGGAGTCTAATCATCATGCCAAAGGTGTGGTGCATAAATTAATTAAATAAGCAAGCACTGAATCAGAGCAAATGGGTGGGGCCCCTGCTTGTGAATAATTTGAAGTATAAAGCCAGAGTTTAGAGCTGAGTTGCAGTGCTTTGGGCCAGATGTAATGGAGCAAGCTGGGAGAAGACAGAGAGAAAGAGCAATATTTGATGTATGTTTGAATCCAAGGAGACCCATTGGGGTGTTATTGTTATCATAGGCTCTGGTTGTATATATGTGTAAATAAACCATCTATCCTAAAAACACCACAGTCTCCATTTCCAAAGGAAACATGAACCATGGGCAAGTGCCTGGAACCCCTGAAATCTCTCACCATTCAGGGTTTGGGGTGACATGCAGCAGAAGGTATGAGAGGGCCCTCCTAATAGCGTGTGAGGAGGAGGCGGAGCCTTTTGTGAGGGTGTCTAAGATGGCTGCTGACAAGTGAGTGAGGGGTTCTGAGCCTCCACAGGTTTACATCCAGAATAAACAGCTGGTTTTCCTCCTAAAAGGCTGGGGTTTCTCCTTTGCTGGAAACTTCTGGAACTCCGCTGCAGCAGAATATGGAGGGGAATGGCAGCTCTCTCTTCTTGTTCTTGTGAGAAAGCAGATCCCTCTTCTCATCCCCTCATGAGGCAACGCTGGTGTTTGAAAAAAGACTTCACTGAAGCCCAGCCATTCAGGAAAAAGCAACACAGAATGGATGAACAGCTCTGTGTGCCTCCTTCGCTTTCTCTTCTCCCTCATTATGAGGAACAGAGCTGGAGTGTGTCAAGGGCCTGGTCTTTTAAAGAAGAACAAAACAGAGAAGGATGGTAGCTTCTACTCTTGGCATGAGGCTGAGGAATAAGCCTGGAGCTTCACAGAAGCTGAGGCACATATTGGAAACTGAGTTGAGATGACAGAATATGCCAGTTTTACAGTTTTCTACTTTTAAATTTCATTCTCCACAATTCTACGTTTGCATTTTCTTTATTTTAAGTCCACATGAAAATTCATCAGTACTTTAGTGCAAACTTCTCCCAATTTTCACATGTGATTGCAATTATGCTCAATATGCATTTATTTATTTTTTTGTAAAACAGTTTCCCCTGGAAGAATGCATTTTTCTATGTAATTTTTGCTGTTATCTGTATTTTTATTGGCACTTTAACTGAGTGTCTGCTGGGGGTTTTGTGCACAGAACTTGCCTGGAGAACTTCTTTGAGAAATTCAGAGAACTGTGAATTTTGAAGGAGGATTGTGCTTTGCTTTTTAAAACATTGTTCCAGAAAGTACCAATTAGGTAGATTCACCTTTGAATGAAAACTGAATTTCTCTTCCATCCCTAAAACAGAATATCAGGAGTGGGAGAATCAAATGGTAGCCCTCCAGGTGTTGTTGGATTACAACTCCCATCATTCCTGTCCATTGGCCATTCCACCTGGGGTTGATGGTAAAGGTAAAGGTAAAGGACCCTGACAGTTAAGTCCAGTCGTGACTGACTCTGGGGTTGCGGCGCTCATCTTGCTTTACTGGCCGAGGGAGCTAACGTTTGTCCACAGACAGTTTTTCCGGGTCATGTGGCCAGCATGACTAAGCCTCTTCTGGTGAAACCAGAGCAGCGCACGGAAATGCTGTTTACCTTCCCGCCAGAGTGGTACCTATTTATCTACTTGCACTGACGTGCTTTTGAACTGCTAGGTGGGCAGGAGCTGGGACCGAGCAATGGGAGCTCACCCCGTCGCAGGGATTTGAACCATCGACCTTCCGATCGGCAAGCCCAAGGCTCAGTGGTTTAAACCACAGCGCCACCCTTGTCCCCTATGAGATTGATGGTAGCTGTACTCTAAAAGCATAAGAGGCATAATGTTTAAGCACTGTCCTCTCCGATCATTTTGTGGGAAACTAACCTGCTCCCAAGTGTCAGGGTTTTTAATTAATGAATGAAGCCAGTAGCCAGAAAAGAATTTAGACTGTCTTTATTCTAGGGAATGAAGTATAGAAACCAGGGCAAAATGAACACCACCATCACCCTGGCAACTGGAATAATGTTCACGCTGCATCTGAAAAGTCTGATTGCAGGGATTATTCAAACAATTCAAGGTATGTGTGTGCTTAAACAATTTCTTATCCACTCCACCTCTCTTTGCTGATGTGAAAAATGTGCACCAGATAGAGAGTGTATTCCACAAGTAAATAATTGTTCAGCTATTATTGGAAGGGATGACAAAATGGTAATAATGGTAATCTCCAAGGCTGGCAGACAAATAAAGCTAAGAAAATCCCACGTAACCAATGAACAGAGTACAGGCAGGACAATGAATATTTGTGCCAGAAGCAGAATTCATAATGCTACAGCTAGAGACCCTATTCTAAAATCTCTGCCGCTGCTGAATAAGGACAGAGAATAGGGATGGGGAGCCTGTGACCTTCCAGATTTTCTTAGACTACAACTCCCATCATCCTGACAGTTGGCCAAACACAGGCTGGGGATGATGTGAATTGGAGTCTTTCCCATCACTACAAAAGAGGCAGGTATCATCTGACTTGTGGGGAACCCAGTCTGGTTTTTGGAAGGGAGGGGGTAACACACACAACTTCAAATGATATTAAAACAAACAAATAAAAAACCCTCACATGCAGAAGTACAGTGGTACCTCGGGTTAAGAACTTAATTCGTTCCGGAGGTCTGTTCTTAACCTGAAACTGTTCTTAACCTGAAGCACCACTTTAGCTAATGGAGCCCCTCACTACCGCCGCACTGCTGCTGCGCGATTTCTGTTCTCATCCTGAAGCAAAGTTCTTAACCCGAGGTACTATTTCTGGGTTAGCGGAGTCTGTAACCTGAAGCGTCTGTAACCCGTGGTACCACTGTATCAGAAATCTTTGGGAGGCAAAAACCCTAAATGGGGCAGGCAGAGGGAAGAGAACTCTCAGGAAACAACTCAACATGGAGTGTGCTCAGTGATCATGGAATATGACAGACTGGTCCATCTAGGTCAGTGTTGTCTAGAATGACAGGCAGCAGCTTTTCGAGATTTCAGGCAGGGGATATTCCCAACCCCACCTGGAGATGCTGGGGATTGAATTTGGAACCTTCTGCATGGAAAGCAGGTGCTCTTGTGGAGGAGGGCATGAATGAATGACCGGCACAGTAAACATGAACATGCCACACTGCAACATTTCGTTGCAGTTTCTACTTCTGCTATGGTTAATGGGTGTTATTTCTAGATGTTTGATCTGATTTATTTAATTTTTCAGGCAAGTCCATGAGAAAATTGCAACAGCTACCCTCCCTGCTTCCAAGAGGGAAGAAAGGAATAATTTGGTTTGGTCATTGGGTCTGGGAGCCTTGAGATGTATATCTCCAGGCTTCGGTGGAAATCTCCACATACGTGAGTAGGCAGGCAGGTGTTTTATTTGTCTAACACCTTAAGCTAACACAGAGAGGTTTCTATTTAATGCTGTCGTCCGGTAATGTAAACTTACACAGCGATTTGCAAGCAATGTAAATTCCCTATTGAAAGCTTTGGCTGCGAGCCACAAACTACAGAATAAAAGGATCTCTGAAAAGTGAGCGATTAAATTCCAGTCAAAGACTAATATTGCCTAGTTTTCTAATAACCCTAGTTCTCATGTTAATCCATTCTCCTCTGAGTAAATTGAATACTGTATATTTCCATCAAAGTATTCCCTCTGCCCCAGGAGGGCAGCTCAGGAGATGTTCTTTGTTTATTACATAGGCATAGAACAACACTGGACATTTATGCTACAAACTAACATGCAATGGAAGCTGCTTGTGCATGCAGAGCAAATGTTTTTCTCCTAGGAATGCAGGAAGATGACTTATGCCCAGTCCGACCATCTGGTTCACCTAGCTCAGAACTGAATGTGCAAACAAGTACAGTCATACCTCATGTTACGTTTGCTTCATGTTACGTTTTTTCAGATTGCATCCCGCGGCGACCCGGAAGTACCAGAAAGGGTTACTTCCGGGTTTCACTGCTCGCGCGTGCACAGTAGCACTAAATCGCACTTTGCGTATGCGCACAAGCTCCAAATCATGCTACGCACCTGCACAGATACGGCGCTTCAGTTTTTATGTTGCGAACGGGCCTCCGGAACGGATCCCATTCACAACCAGAGGTACCACTGTATATCCATCGATGGGCGAGATGCCCCAAAAGTGACTGAAAAAGAGTACGAGTTCACGTGCAGAGTTGTGAAAGGTTGAGTGGTCCACACAACATTCCAACCATTACCACGTCAAAAACATTTTAGATCAATATAGCATTCACAGAAAAGAGAGCAAAGCATCATAAATTGTGCTGAAAACAACACATGAAGACCAAACATGGTTCCGATGGAAGGCCTGGAAGAATATAAAGGTCATCTTATGGTACCAAAATATGTTAATGTGCACACCTAGAGGATTGCACTTGGGGAGAATATTGTGCAACTGAGGTGCTACCCCCCAAATTAGGATTGAGACAGGAAAGCTGAGGGCCAAAGGCAGCTCCCCAGGCCTCTCTATTTGCTCCTGCGGGTTCCCCCTAAGCCACACTCTCCTGGAATGAGGATGGAGAGATGTCAGTTGGGTGTGTGAGTGTGTATGCACCACCTCACACTCCTTGGAAGAAGAATTGGGTAAAAATGCCAGAAATAGAGCAGACAAATGTCTTTATCTACTTGATTTATGACTGGGGCAGAAATAGCTCCACCTACAGAAAGACCCCTGTGTATCCCTCTCCCTTAGCATTTAGTTCTGCCTGTAATCTGCAATTCCAAACTGTTCCAACAATGGAGATTTACTGTCACCGTTGTTGTTTTTTAAAAAAATGCAGGTGATTTCCCTGTTATTATAGTTCAATGATGCCCTCTGCTGGAAGATTTGTATGTTGGCACTTCCAGTCATTTTCCAGGCATGGGTGAAAGCTGCGTGGTTGATTTCCCAAGGCTTCCCCTGTGGGCTAGATTTCTTTCATGAGGTTAAGACTTCCCCCCCAAAAAACTGTACCCATAGTGGAGCTCCTATGTGGCCTGGAGGTCCTGATGCAGAGGCTGGACAGCCACCTCTTGGGGATGCTGTAGCTCTGGGTTTCCAGCATGAAACAGGGAGCTGGACCAGGAAGGAAGTCCACAAGTCATAGGGATGAAGGACCAATTAAATTCAGTTCACATCTAAAGGCGCAATTTACCTAATCCACACTTTCCAAAACAATATGCGAACCAGAACACAGCTACCCTTCAAATTTCACACTTTTCTGAATTTTGCAGCTTAGTAATGTGCCCCACAATGTAAAGTGTGTATAAAAAAAATGCAGATATTTGTGAAAATATACAATGATGCATGTATTAGGGCAAACATAAATACTGATGAAGCGGAATACAATGGAACCTCGGGTTGCGAATGTGATCTGTGCGGGAGGCATGTTTGCAACCCGCAGCGCCACGTCTGTGCATGTGTACGCGCAGGTCGCGATTCGGCACTTCTCTGCATGCGCAAAGCACGATTTAGCCGTTCTGCACATGCGCAAGCACCAAAACCTGGGTGTAACCTGTTCTGGTACTTCTGGCTTTGGCGCGGTGCGCATCCTGAAAACATGTAATCTGAAGTATCTGTAACCCCAGGTACCACTGTATGCTTTGCAAAAAAAAAGTATTCTTGCATGCCATCCCAGTCTCCAAGTACTGCAAGATTCCAGCGATTCCAAGCACTTACCCAGGGTTCATATTTCCTTTGGAGTGAGGCCCAGTGGAGACTGTAGTGTCTTTAGGATATATGGTTTATTTACAAATATATGCATGCTGTACCACTGAGCTATGACCCTTCCCCAGGACAAGAGGGTGCTGAGAAGACCAGATAGGGTTGCCACATTTCTTTACTGTGCCTTTTTTTAAAAAAGGAGTCATTTTTGGACTCACAGCTGTCCATGGAGGCGCAGGTCAATTCTGTGTCCAGGACAGCTGTTTATCAGCTCCATCTGGTACGCAGGCTGAGACCCTACCTGCCCACGGACTATCTTGCCAGAGTGGTGCATGCTCTGGTTATCTCTCGCTTGGACTACTGCAATGCACTGTACGTAGGGCTAACTTTGAAGGTGACCTGGAAACTACAACTAATCCAGAATGCGGCAGCTAGACTGGTGACTGGGAGTGGCCGCCGAGACCATATAACACCAGTCTTAAAAGACCTACATTTGCTCCCAGTATGTTTCCGAGCACAATTCAAAGTGTTGGTTTTGACCTTTGAAGCCCTAAATGGCCTCGGCCCAGTATACCTGAAGGAGCGTCTCCACCCCCATCATTCTGCCAGGACACTGAAGTCCAGCTCCGAGGGCCTTCTGGCGGTTCCCTCATTGTGAGAAGCAAAGCTACAGGGAACCAGGCAGAGGGCCTTCTCGGTAGTGGCGCCCGCCCTGTGGAATGCCCTCACATCAGATGTCAAAGAGATAAACAACTACCTGAAATTCAGAAGACCCCTGAAGGCAGCCCTGTTCAGGGAAGTTTTTAATGTGTGACATTTTAATGTATTTTTAATCTCCGCCCAGAGTGACTGGGAAAACCCAGCCAGATAGGTGGGGTACAAATAATAAATTATTATTATTATTATTATTATTAATCATTTTTTCGATACAAACATCAACCGCAAAAGACACATACAACAAAAACCATACTAGCAATAATAACACAATTTGACAATTCAGATTTGAATACACTGATATACCTACAACTACACCTTTTTAAACAATATTTCCCCACCTCTCTCTCCTCTCCCTACCTTCCCCCACTATCCGCCTTATCGCTGTGCCTTTCAACAAGCTTGGTCTGCAGACGTTGGCCAGTGATCATGCTTATGGCCAAGTGTCACCTTCCTGCCAGTTTCTGCAGACTGAATTGCTGCTAAGGAATTGCACAAGAGCAAGCCAGACAGGGTTCCTCCCCAAAGTCAGTTGGCACCCCTAAGATAAGAAGGCAAACAGCAAGGAAGGGCAGAAAGAACCAGTGGAGAAATTGTTTCTGCGCTGTCATTATCCTCACCACAAAATGATGTAGCTGGGAAAGAGATTAAGATGGTCACCGATGACCTTTTCCCAAGCAACAGTTGCTTGTTAACCTTTTTGCCCTCTTTTCCACACAAATAATAAGGGCCCCCTCCAGACTCATGTTTTGTAAGGAGTGTATTGTGCAACATGTAATTGAAGCATTGCTAGTGCATTTGTGGTAGATTTATGCTGGACTGGACGCATGGAGCTCTACTTTATTAGTTGTCCTGCAATCATTCCCCATTGTCATCTGGAGGGGCAGCCTTGCACTGCAGCACGGCTAAACTGGGAGAAATAATAATAATAATTTGGAACATCTGTGGTACTAAAATTTATAGGATTGCAGCCAGAAGTTGCAGGACATGCAGCAGTTGGATACAAAGCAATATGCCCACCCCAAAACCTTTGCAGGCAAAGAGCACTGAAAGCGGGGTTGTTTATAACCACCTTGATACCATCATGAGTGCAAATAATCATACTTCACAACAAAAGGGATGTCTGGAGGGACCAGAAATATATCTCAGCCGCTATGCAACTTGATTAAAGGCACATCCTGAAACTGTAACCAGTCGGGACACATCTCATCCTTTGAAGAGAAGTCTTAACAAGCAAATGGCCATTGTTTTATACTCCTGCTTTACTAAGGTTGTCTGAAGGGATGTTGACACTGGAGGGGTCACTGTGGTCCTTCAGGCTGCAATTAGCCATGGCTCCCATTGTCAACTGGCCCTCTTGTGTAGGGCTGCAAATCCTCTTTCTGTAACTGAGGTCCCCGTGCTCTCGTGCTCACAATAATTGAGCCTTCCAGGAGCCGCTGTGCAGATCACAAGCTTAATGGCTTTTGTTCTTGATGCAATACATAACTCATAAGTGCCTCAAGGTCTTTAAAAAAAACAAAAAAACAAGCCTTAGTCACTGAAGAGTTCCAGTTTCCAATTTCCAATCACCATTTTTAATGCAGCTGGAAGGTCCTCACAAAGCAACTTAGCAGGGTGGCTTAAGATAAAAAACAGCCCTGCCAGATCAAGTCAGTTGTCTGCCTAGGTCAGGGGTCTGCAACCTTTAAGACAAAAAGAGCCACTTGGGCCTGTTTCCAAAGAAAAAAAAACTGGGAGCCGCAAAACTCGTCATTATAAAAATAACTTTTTTATTATTTCTTTGTTTGACCTCTCAGAATTACTCCTCCTCATAGAATAAACGTTAAATTAACAAGTTACCTTTTTGTGTGTGTGTGTTCTTCACTCCCCTTCAAAACAGTGACCAGCGTACATGCCCCTTACAATGTAGTGGGTGGGCGGGCGGGAAGGTGACGTCGGGACGGTGCGTGACTAATCCACAAACCGCCCCCATGTGACGTCACAGCCAGTACAGCGCCCGCCACAGTGGGGAGTGTCGGGGCACACAATGCGCCTCCTCCCCTCGCTAGTATCCGCCCCGGAGCTGCGGCAAAGGTGTAAAAGAGCCACATGCAGCTCCGGTTGCAGACCCTGGCCTAGGTCATAGTTCACTGTATTCTGTTTCCCACAGTGACCAAGTGCCTTACTCCTTTGGTATTTTAATCTTAGGAGTCATCCAAGGAGGTTCACTAGCAGGATGTCCTCCTGATACAGAAGCTAGGAATAAGATCATAGAAAGGTCATGCTGCATCAGACCAAAAGTCCATCCAGGTCGCAATCGCACCAAACATTCAAAGTGCTCTTTAGCAATCATGGTTACCCTGGAAGAATCTTCGGAACTGTAATTTCATAGAATCATGGAATTGCAGAGTTGGAAAGGGTCCTGGGTGTCCTCTAGTCCAACCCCTTGCGATGCAGGAATCTCAGCTAAAGCATCCATGACAGATGGCCATCCAACCTCTGCTTAAAAACCTCCAAGGAAGGAGAGGAATTTGTTAAGCATGCTGGTCATTGGAGCTCTGTGAGAGGTCTCCTAACAACTCTCAAGATCAGGCATAGGCAAACTCAAGCCCTCCAGATGTTTTGAGACCACAATTCCCATCATCCCTGACCACTGGTCCTGTTAGCTAGCAATGATGGGAATTGTAGTCCCAAAACATCTGGAGGGCCGGAGTTTGTCTATGCCTGTTCAAGATGCTTAACAAGACAGCCAGTGTGGTGCAGTGGTTAAGAGCGGTGGACTCATAATCTGGTGAACCGGGTTCGCTTCCCGCTCCTCCACATGCAGCTGCTGGGTGACCTTGGGCCAGTCACACTTCTTTGAAGTCTCTCAGCCCCACTCACCTCACAGAGTGTTTGTTGTGGGGGAGGAAGGGAATGGAGAATGTTAGCCGCTTTGAGACTCCTTCAGATAGTTATAAAGCGGGATATCAAATCCAAACTCTTCTGCAGATCCCACAATTCTTTAGAAGAAGCCATGGCTGTTAAATTGTTATAAGAGTGCTTTAAATGTATGCTGTGGATGTGATCCCAGCCCAGCAACCAGTTTTCCACAGTGGCCACCCAGGTGCCTCTGGGAAGCCCACAAGCAGGCCATGAGCCCAACAGCATTCCCCTGCTCGTGGTCCCCAGTCTCCACCCCGTCATTCAGCCCAGACACTGAGGTCCATCACTGCGAAAAGTGAGGTTACAGGGAACCAGGCAGAGGGCCTTCTCGGTAGTGGTGCCCACCCTGTGGAACGCCCTCCCAACAGATGTCAAGGATATAAGTAACCTTTAGAAGTCATCTCAAGGCAGATGCACTTCCGGGGACAGCGCCAGCAGCTAATGGTGGAGTTCCTCTAAGCGGAGGAACTAGCTCCGCGAAAACTGGGTCGCCCGCCACGGCGAAGGCGGGGACCCGTCAGAAATCTCAGGTGGAAGAAGCCTGGGAACGTGGGGGTTTGGCAGGGCACCTGGAGCGCCCCCCCTACTCGTGGGGAATCCTTTCTAAGGACTCCGGAGCGAAGTGGGGTGAGTGGCGCGGTGCTGTGAACTGAATGCTACTTTCACGGAGTGAAGCCGCACAGCCATTGCCGGGGAGCGCTGACTTTTGGACTTTTAACAAACTGAATTTGGCTACGAACGGGGGAGGCGCAACGAACGGGGGAGGCGCAAAACAGGAAGTCAACCTTCCTTTCTTTGTAAATAGTGGGAAGCAAGGAGTTTTAAACTAAAGCCTGAAAGATTGCTTTTGACATCTAAATCTTCAGTATAAAACTAGCGAACCCCCCCTTGGCTGCAGGGGAAAAGGGGGGGATTTCTGGACATTATTTCCCTGCAGAAAAAGAGGGTAAAAGTTAACGTTTCACCGCTCGGAACCGGGGAACGGCAGCCATTAAAATTGCTGCATTGACTGCGAATAGACTATCTAACTGTCAGTGAGTGAAACATTGTTTCAATTATTTTCTCTTGGCTTAAAAGTTTCAACTATGTTTCTGAACTAAAGTTTGATATTAAACATATTGGCATAAGTTGTTAGAGTAACTTTAAAGAGAAAAATAAAAAGAAAAGGATACTTTGTTGTTGTTTTTTTGAATGATATTTATTCAAAATTTCATCAATACATAAACACAAAAAGAAAAACAAGAAACACAGAGAAAAAAAAGAAAAAAGAGGAAAAATATACAGCAAAAAATAGAACAAGAGGAAAAAACCCAAAAAAGAAAGAAGAAAGATACAAATCTCAGATTGCAACTTTTCATTTGCTTAATTCTTGAACCTCCTCACACCTCCCTTTTTGTATTCTAGTTTAATTCGTTATTTCAGCAAATTCTTCCCATGTTTCTCAATTTTAATTTAAATGATTAATCTTCACAATCTCTCTTATTTATTAATCAAGATAACCTTTCCATCTTTTAATATAGTCTGTTATTCAATTTACCTTAATCTCTTTAACCTTATCTTATCTTAAAAATCTTAAATTTTCAAAATTTACATCATATTCATACATATCTCCTTAAAATCATTTCTACTAAAGCCAATTTAATTCCTTTCCAGCATATTCCCTCAAATTTCATTAATGTTGCACTAATTCCAAAATTAACAAAAGAATTTCCCTTGATATCTCTAATTTTTATCCAACGTCCCTTCTTCCTGGTTTCAGGTCATGTCAGTCCTTTCTGTCCATTACATCCAGTCCATCAATCTGGTGTTCTAATGTCCGAGGCCCTTAAATCTCTTCTAGGCCCCTTCTGCAAAATTTTTGTTCCTGTTTGTGCTTGCGCACTTCTTTGTCAATTGTTGGTTTCTTGGGGAGTGGGTCTCCGGAGGGTTCCATCCGGTAATAGTTTCCATTTTCCTTCATCAGATTGGCCCCTTCCCCCCAGTCCCACTCCCCGTCTTCATCTTTGTAATCCAAAAAATATTTATCCAGAAGATAGTTGTTCACCTGTTTCATAGTCCCACTAGAGTTAAAAGCTTCCTTGACTTCAAATACTTCCCGGCAGTCTCCAAGTTCAATCTTCCAACGCAGTAGCTTTTGTTCCTGCAGGACTTTGGATCTTTCCATTTGTGTTGTTTGAGGAGTAATCACTGCCTCTTCTTTCTCCATCTGCCCTTGGACTTGCCTTGTCAAACCAGGTTCCTGAATTGATCGCTGTATAACTTCTTTATCCTTATTCCCTGTTAAATCATATTCACTGGCCACAGCACTCATCAGGTCCAATTTTTCATGCATCAAGTTCATTTTCTCATGCAGCTGCTCCAGCAAAGCATTAGTCATGCCAAGGGCAGACACCAAACCTTCCTGCCAACACATTTCTGTTCAAAGTCAAGGTCAAACGGCTGGTCCCACGATCCAAATCTCACATCTGCAGAGTCTCCAAGTAAGCTGCAACAACAAACTGACGGGCTCCCTCTAGGGGACACAATTTCTATTTGTATCCATTTTTAAAATATATCCAACGAAGGAGATTACTTTCGATTTCAATTCCTTTCGATTTCAAATACTTTGTTTCTTTAAAAAGCAGAAATGCAGAAAGTAGCGTTGAAGTTAATTTGTTTCTCTTTTTCTTTTCTTTTTTACTATCTGTCAAAGTGCTCCACTTTCAATCAATGGACGTCTCAAACAGCTTCTGTCCCGACACCCCGTCCCCAGGTTTGGGACGATGGAAACTTAAATTCCTTTACTCTCCTCCTGCAGGATTAAACAGTCAAATCCCCCCCCCTTTCTCCTGCTTCCAAGGGGGTTTTATTGGTTATGGATGCAGGAAATTTCCAACTTTAAAGCAGTTTTTCAGGCTATTAGGTTGCAAGGTCTTTGCTTCAATCTATATACAAAAACGGAAGGCGGACTTCCTGTTTACACCTTCCCGCTTCGTGCCTAATTCATAAATTTTGCAGGTTTCTTAATCCAATTCTCCGTTTTTACTCACGGGTGCTTGATTTAGAGTCCAAATGTCATCAGGAAATGTCAGCGCTCTCCGGTGATGGCTGCGCGGCTTCCCTCCATGGAAATAGCGATCGGTTCGCAGCACCGCGCTGCTCACCCCACTTCACTCCAGAGCCCCAAAAAGGGGTTTCCTCGTGAGTAGGGGAGGCGCTCTTGGTGCTCTGCCGAACCCCACGTTCCCAGGCTTCTCCGCCTGGGATTTCTAGCGGGCCCCCACCTTCGCCGCGGCGGGAAGACCCAATTTCCACAGAGCCCGTTCCTCCGATCGGAGGAACTCCGCCATTCGTCGTTGGCGCTGACCCGGAAGTCCCAGAAAGGATACTTTGGACTAATATAAGATAAACAACAACTACTTCCCTCTAGAGGAGGACTTTGAAACTGTTATAAGGAGTGGAATTTTCCAGTTTTAAAGACAAAACCCTGGGAATTGTACCTGACCTTGAGAGCCTTGAGTGTTATGGCAGATGGGAAGAAAAAAATAGACTCATTACAGGAAAAGACAACTAGATCCGGCAGGACTTTTCGGAGAGCCTCTACATCTGGCCCCCCTGTTCCCTCTGCAGCTGTGTCAGTGTATACCAAATCAAAAGGAGGAATGCCCTTGGAAGAAGATTGGGCTCTTGTATTAAGCAAAATTAACAATTCTTTGGAACAAATGAATAAAAAATTGGACCAAAATTCACAAAAATTGGACCAAAATACACAAAGTATAAAAAGTTTGGAACAAAAAGTTAATTCTAATACAGAAGCTATTGAGACACTAGTTAAGGAATCTAATTCAACTAGGCAGACTGCAGAGGAAGCTAAGGAAAAGATTGCTACGGCGGAAGCGAAAGTAGCACAATTGGAAACAGAGGTCCCGGATGTGTGGAAACAAGTACATGACCAGAAGCAGATGCTTTCTATGTTCGAGCTCAAGGAGAAACAGACAAATCTGAGAATTCGGGGAGTACCTGAACTAGAAAAAGACTCCTTGATAGACTTTCTCACAGAGGAATTTGCAGCCTTTTGGAATCGGGACCTACAAAAAGAGGAGTTTAAAATTGTGAGAGCCTTCAGACTGGGAAGAGGAGGGAAGAAGGAGAAGAACAGAATAAGAGACTGTTTGATTACACTCAGATTGAAGGAAGAGAGGGATAAAATTTTGAGTTGGCATTACGAGGAGGCCTTGACAATACACAAATTTAGAGTGGAGATATTTAAAGATATTCCCAAATATCTTTTAGATTTGAGATTTAATTTTAGAGATTTGGTTGAACTGCTGAGAAGGAACAGAATCAACTTTCGGTGGGAATTTCCTCAAGGCCTATCTTTTAGCTTTAAAGGAAGAAAAATAAAGATAAGATCATTAGAGGATAAAACAAAGTTCTTGCACAATTATGAAGAAGATCTACAGAAGGGAATCGGAAAAGAGCCAACATCACCGGAAAGAGGGTCACCAGACAGAGGATTGGAGCAAAGAGTACGGAAGAGAGCATCGTCAAAAAAAGATACTTTGGAAATCTTGGACATTTCATCATTGTCTTTTGGATTGGACCCCCCCCCCCCCGATAAGGAGCTAACGTTACCACCAACAGAAGAGGAACAAGATCTGGGGGCAGTTGGGGGAGTACCAAAGTAGCCACAGGATGACGCTGCAGGCCCTGAGTTGGAATGTCCATGGCCTCAACATTTCGGAGAAAAGGCGACGAGTGTTTCATTTATTGAAAAAAGAGCAATTGGACTTAATTTGCTTACAAGAAACGCATGTGACAAGATTACACAGGAAATTATTAAGCAACAAGAAATTAGGTCAAGAATTTATTTCATCAGATAAAGTTAAAAAAAGAGGAGTGGTTCTCTATGCAAAGGAGAACCTATCACCGAAATTTATCTTCAAAGATGAACAAGGAAGACTGGTAGCAATTGAAATCCAATTACAAGGAGATAGGTATTTGGTGATAGGTATCTATGCACCAAATGAAGGGAAATCGGAATTCTTCAAAAAGTTACATGAAATCTTGATGGACTATATGGATTACAATATGATCTTGATGGGAGACATGAATGGTGTCGTATCTACGAATATGGATAAGGCTCAAAGACAAACAATCACCAAGGATGGAAGACTACCAAAAACATTTTTTGACATGACTGATAATTTGGACTTAATTGACGTTTGGAGAATGAAGAACCCTCTGGGAAGAGAGGGAACTTTCTTCTCGGAGGCAAAAATGACATGGACAAGAATCGACCAAATCTGGGTAACTAGAGGACTGGCTCCAAAGATCAGCAAGGCTGAAATTTGCCCAAAGACCAGCTCTGACCATAATGCGGTGAAGATGGAAATGAAATTGATGCCAACTGGATCCTTCAGATGGAGGATGAATGACTCTTTGTTCAGGAATGATGAATTCATTAAAAAGGCCCAAAAAACTTTGAAAGATTATTTTGAGATAAACATGAACACTTCAGTGGAAAAAAGAGTAATCTGGGATGCAAGTAAAGCCGTAATGAGAGGTTTTTTGATGCAACAGAATGTAATTAGGAAGAAAAGGCAAAATGAGGAAAAAAGATAAAATTTTGGAAAAAATAAAGGAAGGAGAGAAGAAATTGAGGGCAAAACCAAAGTCCCAGGAGATCTTAAAAGAAATAAAGCTTTATCAAGTACCATATATGAAATTGATGAACCAGGAAATAGAATGGAAGATTAAACAGATGAGACAAAAGACATTTGAATCGGCAAATAAGTGTGGGAAACTGCTGGCCTGGCAATTGAAAAAAAGACAAAAACTAAATACTATTATGAATCTGGAAGTGGAAGGAAAGAATATACAGAATCCAGTTGAAATTAGAAGGTGCTTCCAGAGGTATTTCAAACAATTATATACACAAGAAAAGCAGAATGAAATGGACATTGATAAATTCCTGGAAATAAATGGACTACAAAAAATTTCTCAAGAAAATAAATTAATGCTTGATTACAAAATAACGGATCAGGAAGTAGAAGGGGCCATTCAGAATATGCAATTAGGTAAATCTCCAGGACCGGATGGACTGACTTCTAGATACTACAGAACTTTGAAAGAATGGTTAATACAACCATTAAAGGAAGTCTGTAATGAAATATTGGAAGGGAAAAGGGCACCTGAGTCGTGGAAAGAAGCATATATTACACTTATACCAAAATCAGAGTCCGAAAAGACGCAACTCAAAAACTACCGTCCCATATCACTGCTTAATGTGGATTACAAAATTTTTGCAGATATTTTGGCTAAAAGACTAAAAAAGGTGTTAGCAGAAGAAATCCATAAAGACCAAGCGGGCTTTCTCCTGGGCAGGCATTTGTCTGATAATACGAGGAATATAATTAATATTTTAGAAAAGTTACAAGTGAAGATTAATACAAAAGCAGTTTTGATTTTTGTGGACGCGGAGAAAGCCTTTGACAATATTTCTTGGAGTTTTATGAAGAAGAATTTATCGGGGATGGGGGTTGGCAAAAGTTTTGGAAATGGTATAGGTGCAATTTATTCAGAACAAAGGGCCAAATTAATTGTGAATAACGTAGTGACGGAAGAATTTAAGATTGAGAAAGGAACACGACAGGGTTGCCCAATCTCTCCATTGCTTTTTATTTCGGTCCTGGAGGTTCTGTTAAATATGATTAGAAGGGACCAATTGGTTAAAGGTATACAAGTGGGAGCTAAACAGTACAAACTGAAAGCATTTGCAGATGACTTAGTACTGACTTTACAGGAGCCAGAATCAAGCACGAAAAGAGTACTAGAATTGATTCAAGAATTTGGCCAGGTAGCAGGTTTTAAGTTGAATAAGATGAAAACTAAAGTCCTGGAGAAAAATCTGAACGTGATTGAGAGAGAGAAGTTTCAGAGAGAGACAGGTCTGACATTGGTTAAGAAAGTGAAATATTTAGGGGTTAATATGACTGCTAAGAATGTGAATTTATTTAAGGATAACTATGAAAAATGTTGAACTGAAGTGAAAAAGATTTAGAAATATGGTCAAATTTGAAGTTATCGTTGCTAGGCCGAATTGCTGTGATAAAAATGAATGTATTGCCAAGAATGTTATTTCTGTTCCAATCACTGCAAATTTTGGACAAAATGGACTGTTTCAAGAAGTGGCAGAGAGATATTTCCAGATTTGTCTGGCAGGGCAAGAAGCCCCGTATAAAATTTAAGGTTTTAACTGATGCTAAAGAAAGAGGTGGATTTGCCCTGCCAGACTTAAAACTTTACTATGAATCAGCTGCTTTTTGCTGGCTGAGAGAATGGATGCTTCTTGAAAATACGGATGTTTTGGATTTGGAAGGTTTCAATAATGTATTTGGTTGGCATGCATATTTGTGGTATGATAAGGTCAAAGCACACAAAGCGTTCAAAAACCATATTGTAAGAAAAGCACTGTTTAATGTCTGGATAAGATATAAGGATTTGTTAGAAAATAAAACCCCAAGATGGCTGTCACCTATGGAGGCAAAGGCCCAGAAAAACTCAATAGGGAGGCCAAATGGCCGAAGTATTGGGAAATCTTGGAACAAGAGGGTGACAGATTAAAATTACAGAGCTTTGAAAAATTAAAAAACAGAGTGCGAGATTGGCTCCATTATTATCAAATAATGGAGGCATATAATCAGGACAAAAAAATAGGTTTTCAAGTGGAAAAATCAAAGCTGGAAACAGAATTGTTAGACCCTAAAGTTAAGAATTTGTCAAGAATGTATAACTTGCTATTGAAATGGAATACTCAGGATGAAATGGTGAAATCTGCTATGATTAAATGGGCACAGGATGTTGGACATAATATTATGATAGCTGACTGGGAACAGTTATGGACCACTGGTATGAAGTTTACGGCATGCAATGCCTTAAAAGAGAATTTAATGAAAATGATTTACAGGTGGTACATAACACCAGTCAAGCTTGCAAAAATTTATCATTTGCCTGATAATAAATGTTGGAAATGCAATGAAACTGAAGGTACTTTCTTTCACCTCTGGTGGACATGCCCAAAGATTAAGGCATTCTGGGAGATGATCTATAATGAAATGAAAAAGGTATTTAAATATACCTTCTTAAAGAAACCAGAGGCCTTTCTCCTGGGCATGGTGGGCCAATTGGTGCCAAAGAAGGACAGAGTTTTTTCATGTATGCTACAACAGCAGCAAGAATACTCATTGCAAAGCACTGGAAGACACAAGACCTACCTACCAGGGAAGAATGGCAGATGAAACTGATGGACTACATGGAATTGGCGGAAATGACTGGCAGAATCCGAGACCAGGGAGAAGAGTCGGTGGAAGAAGATTGGAAAAATTCAAAGCTTATTTACAGAAATATTCTAAAATTAATGAATGTTAGAAAGATGCTGGAAAGAAGTTATATGACTTTAGTAGAAATATTATAAAGAATCAAGTATGAATAGATTGATATTGGGTAAAGAGGTAAATTTAAGTCTAAAATTGTGTTAAGTTAAATTATGGAACTAAATTTGTGAAAGAGGGAAAGGACTTGCTGGAATATTTAATTGAACTAGAATACAAAAAAGGAGGTGTGAGGAAGTCGAGGAAATAAGCAAATGAAAGATAAGTATATGAAAACATGTGGTTCTTTTGTATGTTTGTTTCTTCTCTTTTGGGTTTTTCTTTTTTAAAAAAATGCTTTTGCTTTCTTTTCTTTTTCTTTTTGTATTGTTGATGTTTTGTACTATTGTATTTATTTTTGTTTTTGAGGCTTTGTAATTGTTTATTGCTTATATTTTTCTTCTGTTTTTTTGCAGTGTCTAAACTTCAATAAATACTTTATATATATATAAAAAAAGAAGTCATCTCAAGGCAGCCCTGTATTGGAAAGTTTTTGGAAACCCAGTCAGATGGGTGGGGTATGATGATGATGTTGATGATGATGATGATGATGATGATGCCAGGTCAGTCTAAGTGTCTTTCTTGCTTATTGGCATCTGCTCTCATTGGCAGCACCTCTTCAGGGTCTCAGTCAGAGGTGTCTCCTACCACCTGCTACCTGATCTTCTTAACTGCAGGTGCCAGGGATTGAACATCCATGAGAGACATGTGCTCTGCAACTCTATCAGTCCATCCCCAAAGGAAGCTGTGGGGTGAAGGAGAATGAAGCCCTGCTGAAATTCAGTGCAGAAAAGTGCTTGGCTTTGCCTTGGCTTTGCCCACAAAGTCTAGTCTTGAGCCACACCTGCTGAATCAGAGATGGAGAACATGCAGCCCCAGCCAGCCTGGCCCAAGGTCAGGCATGTTGTCATTTCACAGCCTTCTGAAGCTTGATTTCTATCAGGGTTCATCCCATTTTCAGTAGAATTCTTGTGGGTTTGATTCCAAGGGCCTTTTTAGCGATAGCACCCTTTACAGTCATACCTCAGGTTACAGATGCTTCGTTTTTCAGGTTACGGACCGCCGAAACCTGGAAGTACTGGAACGGGTTACTTCCGGGTTTCGGCAGTTGCGCATGCGCAGAAGCGCCGAATCACAACCCGCGCGTGAGCAGACGCGCCGCTGCGGGTTGCGAACGTGCATCCCACACAGATCATGTTCGCAACCCGAGAGTCCACTGTATTTGGAATGGCTTCGTGGGACAGATTCCTGAGGCATTTACATAATTCAGGCCCCAGATTTTGTTCACAAAGTAATATTTTAATCATCATGTTTTCAAAATGCATATTTGGGAGGGGAGTAGCCCATTCCCTCCAACATTTCTCCGATGAAAATAGGGACATCCTACAGTAAAACAGGACATTCCATGATGAAATCAGAAACCAGGGTGGCTTCTATAAATCCGGGACTGTCCCTGGAAAATAGGGACACTTGGAGGGTCTGGGGGGGCTTGTTGGGGCCCCTGTGTGATTCTTCATTTGTTCCCCCTCTCACTTAACAGCAGGCTAAGGGCACCTTTGCCACTCTGCAGAGATATAGTACAGTCAGCTCACACACTCCTCCCAGGCTGGGATTGAGATCAATCAGACACCCCAGCCATAAATCTCAGCACAGTGACTCCACAGTGACCGTGTCTCTGCTTTTAATTTCTTGAGCAGTTAAGGAAAGAAAAGCCACAATTGGACATTGACATGATCTTGCTTTGACCCACAGCATAATGGCAGAGCATGGCTCGCAACTCTGGTCACAGAGGGACAAATAAACAATGCTTCTTGGGTTGGTCTCCTATCTTTCATTGGGCACAAGACCCAATGAAACTTGTATTTGCCACAAGGAGACAAAATACTCAAGTGGCATTCATAGTCTCTGGCTTATATTCCACATAAGATGTTCATTCAATAAAGTAGTGGGTGGGGGATCAATTTCAAGAAGGCCCCATGAAAACACACTGCAAATTCAACCGTGAAAAGGACAAACCAAGACTTGCAACACTGTGACCGTCTAAATACCAAACATGGCTTTGAATTCACGAGCTTTTCATGCTAATCAAATGCTGCTCTCCTTGTGCTTTGAGGAGATAAGAAGCTACAATACCCAGCTCTCTTGGTCTGGCCACGCTTTAACTCCTGCTGAGATAAAAAAAATAGAGCTACAACTGGGAATAAATTTGCCTCTTATACAACTTGTATGGCTGCAATGTTTAGTTGGTGAATCAGTTATATTAGTTGGTTATAGGGCTGAATGAAAATGAAGGGAATGACACATTTCATGAGCAACTTTGACCTCACATGATGATGTCACTGGTGGCAAACGAAGTTAAATTTGGAGTGAATGCAGTTCCCTTACTCTGCACTAACTTAACTCGCCTTCAATGAGATCATTACAGACAAATCTCCCTAGATACCTGAAAATGGTACTGTTTCCATGAAAAGAAGTCTGCCAATCTGAGCGGTGAACAACAGTGAATGGACAGGTAAGCACTGGAGAAGTTGTTTGGGGGACATTTTAGTTGCGTGACAAGGCCCTCTTTTTGTCCTAAAAAAACCAAGAATAAACAAAAGCTTATTATTGAACATTCAGCTCACCCTCCTAATTAAAAGCTTTTTCCCCCAGCTTACCTTTATTATTTCCAAACATTTCAAGGCATTTCAAAACAGTGTTTGTTTTATTTGCTTTGACAATTAAATATTTAACCATTGTTTTGACAATTTAAATACTTTAAAAATTACATCTTTCATTCAATAGCGACAACTTTGCTCAGTTAAAAAGGTGCTCCTGATTAATCAGGCAGCAAAACTGGTAGTTCAAAAAATGTTAAATATGTTTAATGTAACTTCTTACATTCTCACAGGTCCATATAAGAAGAGCATAAACAGTTGGGCCTGATGAGCATTTACTGTTCCCAACCCTAATCCTGCCGAAAGCCATCTAATTAGATTTTAATTTGATCCTGACTTGTTTTTAGGTTTAGGACGTAATTTAATTATTGTTTGATTTTATACCAATGTTATATATTTGATGTTAGCCACCCTGAGCCCGGTTTCGGCCGGGGAGGACGGGATGCAAATAAAAGTTTATTATTATTATTATTATTATTATTATTATTATTATTAGCGGGGATGGTCACTGTATTAGAAGAGGCATTCCACCTCCCATCTTAGAAAGGAAGGAATGCCTCTCAGTAGAAGGTCATTTTAGACTCTGGACTTGATGGTCTTACATGAGTTCCCCTTTTTAGATGTATTATTTTAAAATTTGGTAAACTGGCTGAGTTTGAAAGCCCTTCTGTTCATTTTCAGAAGAATGGTGAGAACATACATTTCGGCATTTGTCCCAAAGTCCTGCCTTGTCTGTGCCACTGTTGCCTCTTCTAAGATGAGTACTGCTATGCATGTGCATGCATCAGCTAAATATGCCAAAACCAATGCTTTGTTTTCATCACAGGCACTGTTTTACACATATGCATATTTGGGCAGATTGTATCAACTAATGAATAAATTGAAACTTGTTTGACTAATTAATTGGGTGCCACCCCTAACAAAGCCCTAACAAAATTGCTCTGTCTAGTGGTCCTTTTCCAGAGATTTGTGGGATATTCTTGCCTTCCTTCAGGAACTTGATTGAGCTTGGAAATGATGGGGAATGTATTCTTTCCTGTTCATCAGGAATAGAGCCGTGGTCCTCCAGATGTTGTTGAACAGAGGTGGGGTCCATCAACAGCTGAAGGGCCACAGTTTCTCTGTCCTACTGTACACGATGAGTAACTAAGCATCTGAATACCCCCAGCAGAATAATCCGTTTCATCCATTTATTCTGGCATATACGATATTAGCTGGGCAGAAAAAGAAGCAAAGAAACATTTGCCTGCTTTGGAAGAAATTAGAGTCTGAAGCAAACATGTTTAAATACGCCAAGTCCTCTCAAGACCCAGACTAAGTGGCGCCCGCTCAGGGAGTTCAAAGGCTATATTGTGTTGTGGACAACAGGATTTGCAGCTTTCTGTTTTACACCCCCCCCCCCCCAGTATGAGTGGAGGAGAAATTCAGTTTGGTTAATTTTTTTAGGTGAACCTACCTTATTTGCACTTCCTGAAACAATATGCCAACCAGAACAGAGCTATCCTTTGAAATTCTAACTTCTCCAAACCTTGTGATGTAGTTGTGTACAAAAAAAATCACATTCAGGGAAAGTGTGTATTCAAATGCACACACTGAAAAGAAGTGTGTTCTGTTAGGAAAAGCCGATAACCTTTCACCAGGATCTTTTGCTGAAAATTGCAAACTGACGCCGAAAAATGTTGAACTGAACTTTATGAATGGGGAAATAAAAACTGGCGACTCACTCACCCCTAACGCTCACCCATGTGGCCCATTATGCTCTCAATTTTTTTTATTATTAACTTGTTCATGGCTGGTGGTTCAAGAATGCAAGACTGCTCTCAGGACAGCGACTTGCTTGCTTGCTTCTCAGTATACACAAAACTCTGGAAATATTGTAGTTTGTATCGCAGCATGCATTGTACTAGAACTGATGGTCTTTCTTTGCTCTTCCTGGTGTCAGTGTAGCTTAAATGGTTAGAGCAGGGGTCAGCACCTTGTGGGAGGGCAGACTATTTTTTTGGGGGGGAGAACGAATTCCCATGCCCCACAAATAGCCCAGAGATGCATTTAAATAAAAGCACACATTCTACTCATGTAAAAACACGCTGATTCCCAGACCATCTGCAGGCTGGATTTAGAAGGCAATTGGTCCTGATCCGGCCCCTGGGCCTTTGTTTGCCTACCCATGGGTTAGAGCATGGTGCTGATAATGCCAAAGACAGCTGCATATTCCTACAACTCTACAATTCTATTTCTTATGGGATAGAAGTTCAATGAAAGCCCCTTTGTAGCCTTCAACACACCCCACACATATGTCAGGGCCAAACAACACTTTGGTGGCACTATTTCTTGCCATTATCTGTGAGTTTGTGGGCTGCGGGGGGAACATTATGAAAATGAGGACAGTTGTATTTGACATTTCCCCCCTTTCCCTGTTACATCTTAAATTTGTTGTTAGGGACAAGCAACCCCCCCCCCTAAACAGATCTGAGACTATGAGGCATTGAAAGATGAGGAACCCCACATAATATGGGCACAGGGCTGCCCCCACATGGCAGCTGTTGGAATTACCGGTATCATTTCATCTTTGGTTCCCAAGGGAATTGTGCAAAAGAAAGATCCCGCCTTCCTTGCTCTCAGGCATCCAATAGGCAAGTGACAATTAGAATAGTGCTGAAGGGTGTCAAAAAGGAGTGTCCCTTCACCCCATTGGCTAGAATCCGGATCACAGAGGCTAGAAAACCAAGATTTTGAGACCAGGATCTCAGCCAGGAGCTAGGAATGAGGTAAACCAAGACTGGGAAGACTAAGTCAACCAAGGTAGGAAGGAACAGATCTCGTAGGGGAGGGGTGTTGGCGGGGATGGAGGAGAAATACATTTGGTTCACATTTTAAAGCAAGCCAATCTAATTCACTAGTTCCAAGATTATATGCAGGTTGGAATGCAACTACCAATCAGACCACAAACTTTTCCAAACCTTATGGTACAGTTTCGTTAAAAGTACATTTTAATATTAATATTTATTTCATTTATGAATTGCTTCCTAAGAAGCATCACAGAGCAATTTCACAATAGAATTATAAATAGATAACAATTGCATGCGGTAAAATCACAGATATTAAAGCTGCTTAAACAACTGCATTTAGCTTTCTTTTTAAAAAAATTTAGGGGCCATCTATAACTTTTCTCTTTTGTGGCCGAACTGGATGAAATTTCAGGAGAGGTTCTGCTGTATTTTTCCTGCAAGGGCAGCCTTTACAGTTTCATGGTGGTTTAAAAACACACTATTCACTTAATCTTCGCTTAATTTGCTTAATCATTGTTTTGTGACCAATTTGCATGAAAGAGGCATATATCATAGAGGTGCCCCTAGGTAAGAAATCTGCCAAATTTCAGAAGGATGGGCACAGGACGATTTGGAGGAGCCAAAAAAATTTGCTCCCCCATTGCTTTGGTTTGGTGGCCAGTTTGTATGCATACACCAAAGAGGTACCATTAAGTCAATAACCTGCACGACAGAAAGAAACTTTTAAGTGTTTCATCCTTGATGGAATGGGTGATTAACACCCTCTTGAGAAAATATGAGATGGACTCTTGTGGACATCTTACAATGCATGCTGAGCCTTTGAAATGCGGGGTGTTTTTAAAAGGGATTCTCTGTCCCTCTTCAGTGAGAAATTTGCAGTACAGTCGTACCTTGGTTGTTGAACAGAATCCATTCCAGAAGTCCGTTCGACTTCCAAAAACGTTTGACAACCAAGGCTTGACTTCCGATTGGCTACAGGAGCTGCCTGCACTCAATCGGAAGCCACAGAAGCCACACTGGACGTTCGGGCTCCAAAGAACATTCACAAACCGGAACACTCATTTCCAGGATTGCGACGTTCAGGTTCCTAGGTATGGCTGTACTTTTTTCCATGCGACGGTGCTGAACACCAAACCCGGTGTGTTTGGTGCAACCTAAACCCCTACTTGTGTGTTCTTGAAAGTCCCTCAAAGTACCCCTTCACCTACCGTATTTTTCGCTCCATAAGACGCACCTGACCATAAGACGCACCTAGTTTTTAGAGGAGGAAAACAAGAAAAAAAATATTCTGAACAAAACAGTGGATGTATGATTTTTGTGGTTCATGCTGTGGCCACAGACATGTGATTTGACGGTGAATTTGGGGTGACCCAATGCAAAAATCCTGAGAATCCATGTGGATCCGTGCTTTGTAACCATGTTTTTGCACCATTGCAGCCCCAGGAAACAGTGGATGTGTGATTTTTTTGGTGCAGGCTGTAGCCATGGACATGCTATATGATCTGATAGTGAATTTGGGGTGACCCAATGTAAAAATCTTGAGGATCCATGGGCTTTTACATCCCCCCTCCCAGGCAGCCTCCGCTAGCATCCCTTATCTCTCTCCCGATCCCACCGATCAGTTGTTTCCTTTCAACACTCTCTTCCCTCTTGTTTGCCTTAGTGTCTTTACCTTAGCTGGAGTAGTGTCTTTACCTTAGCTGGAGCAGTTTTTTGCTCCTCCTTTTCTTCAAATTTCTCTCCTTATTGCTTTAGTCTTCCTGTTTCCCACCTTTGCAAGTTTGCTGTCTTTACCTCCCCCCTCCCAGGCAGCCTCCTTTATCTCTAGCGTCCCTTATCTCTCTCCCCAATCGGCAAACGATCAGCGGCTTTGTTTCAACACCCACTTCCCTCTTTCAAAAAAAAAAAAAGTGTGTATTACGGAGCGAAAAATACGGTATATTCTTTCAGTAAAACAGGATGTGACCTTCTCACTCTTTGGTTCAAAGCGGGCAGCCTAGCTCACCACTGGGTTTTCCATTATGCTGCAGGAGAAAGGTGGCATGGCCATTTCTTTCCCTCACCAGTTATGCTTCCCTAGTTGTTTATTCGAAACATAGGAAGCTGCCCTATACCAAGGCAGAGCAAACTGGTCCACCTACCTCTGTACTTCCGACACTGACTGGCAGTGGCTCTCCAGAGTTCCAGCCATTCTCAGCACTACTTGGAGAAGGGTTGTGACTCACTGGTAGGACATCTGCTTTGTATGTAGATTGCCCCAGGGCCAATCCTAGCATCTCTAGGTAGGACTGGGAAAGACCTCCATCTGGAGAGCCTCTGTCAGTCAGTGTAGACATTACAGAGCTAGCTGATCCAATGGCCTGACTCCATAGGTTGCTAGGATTGAATCTGGGGTTTTATGCATGCATTGAGCCAGTGGCACAGTTACTCAAAGCTACTGTGAAGGCATCACCATTAAAAGAGGCAACTTTAAGAGAGCCCAACCAGTTTGGTCACACTGGGCATGGAGCCTCAGTGGCTCGACAGGGGATGCTGCAACTGTGATGTTGAATGGAAAAGGCGGGGGGTGAATTTTGGTGTCGCACAGAGCACTGCTGAAATTTGAGATGCCAAGGTCGTCCACTGTCTTTAGCAGGAAGGGATGCCTTACCCTCTGCTCTACCAAGCAGCCAGGGGAAACGTGCTTGGTTGGATTGACCTAGGTTTTTCGGACTTGGTGGACTTCACATGCCTACTCGGGGAGTTGTCAGCTGTAGTCCCCTGCTGAACAGGCAGCAGCTGGTATAGGAGCAACCTTGTTCAAATTCCCTTCGCTCTGTGATCAAAAGTAAAAAGGAGAGCCCCTGAGTAAACTATTCTCCAGTTGGAAGCCAAAGCTGTCAGTCACAAAAGTACACCACTAATCTCTCTCCCTCTGCATTTGTCCCATCCTAGTTTTTTTTTCTTCCTTATATGGAAAGTTTGAGGAGAAACATTGTCACTTTTGCTGGCACACGGTTTGCCTCTCCCGTTGCCTCCGAAACTCTGAATGGTTTGTGAGGCTTCAGGATGATCCAGATTGTTTGGTGTGAATCAAAGGGAAGCTGCTTTAGCTTGGATGCCTCTCAAATCCCTCTGAATCAGATTGATGTGGCTCAGGATGTTGGATTCATCTGAACCTGATGCACACCTCTAATCTATATCACTAGTCACACACACACAACAAACAAACTACACAACACACAAACCATCCCTATAGCATTTAAAAATGCTTCATATTTTTTTCTTTAATTTTTTTTTAATACACTGAAGTAAGATAGTGTAGATTTACTCATGTACATGTAGCACTTTAAATGCATACCATATATCTCCAAAGAATTTGCTCTCATTTGTAAATTGTTAATAACTTGGAAAAGCATGAGCTTCTTCACTCCAACATAGTCAATAGCATTCCTCCCTCCCATCCTTTTTCTGCAATGGTAAAATTGACTTGACCAGAAGCTACTTAAAATCTGATCCAGCCAATCTCATCCCTTCACTGACTTGCATGAGACGTGGGGAAGACCCCTTGCCCTTGTTGGTTAGGCAACATTGCAAGCCGGTGCCTTCCCGCATCAGGATCCGATCAGGAGCAGCCTATTGCGGGGGAGGGGGGTCCCCGGCTGGTGCGACCCCAAAATGGACCTTGCACCAGTCAGAGAAGTGGATCATAGCCTGCCCACAAATTGGTCAATCACGAGCAGACTGCTTGGCTAGCTCCATCCAGATTGGACGAAGACAGTAGGCTTCACTCTGATCTGCCTCTGGGGTATATATTGGCAGCCAGCATCCACCTCCTCGTGCAGTTCCTCGTCAGATCTCCTGCCCACTTCCCTATCCCTTGGCTTTACATGCTGTGTACTTGACCTTGCTATGGAATATTTGTTGGTCGTTGTACAGTGGTACCTTGGGTTAAGAACTTAATTCGTTCCGGAGGTCCGTTCTTAACCTGAAACGGTTCTTAACCTGAGGCGCGCTTTTGCTAATGTGGCCTCCTGCTGCCGCTGCTCCGCTAGTGCGTGATTTCTGTTCTTATCCTGGGGCAAAGTTCTTAACCTGGAGCAACCACTTCCTGGTTAGCAGAGTTTGTAACCCGAAGCGTCTGTAACCCGAGGTACCACTGTATCTGAGACCAGGCAGGAATTTGTCCATTGGACTAATTGGCTGTTTCCCTTGGTTTTGCCTGTCTCATTGCAATTGTCGCATCTTTGGTGGCTAGGCATTGGGTAAGACTTACTCTTTGGTGGATGGGAGGTTGCAGCCTCTGCCTGCCCCTCCAGTCTTCCAGGGTTATCCCCTTGAAGGGATCCAGTGGAATTTGCTTCTGTCCAGATGCCCAGGCAGGGGTTAGGGTCATAGCACTTTTCAGGGTGGCAATGCCGCAGGGGGTTCCTACTTGATATGTGCCATAGGACCTCTTCGCCTCGGGTTGACCCCAAAACATATACCCCAGCAGGTGGGCTGGAGGTGTGTTTGTTATACCCAATGCCTATGCCAAACCTTTACACCTGGAATCGATAAAGTTTTGGCCTGATTTTACCCCAAGTGATGTTGTTCTGTCTGTTCTTTCTAGATGTGGGGGGAGGGGTGCCTGGCCCACACAAGTACTACAACAGAACTTCCAAGTACAGTGGTACCTTGGGTTAAGAACTTAATTTGTTCTGGAGGTCCGTTCTTAACCTGAAACTGTTCTTAACCTAAGGTACCACTTTAGCTAATGGGGCCTCCTGCTGCCGCCACACCACTGCCCCGCGATTTCTGGTCTCATCCTGAAGCAAAGTTCTTAACCCGAGGTACTATTTCTGGGTTAGTGGAGTCTGTAACCTGAAGTGCCTGTAACCCAAGGTACCACTGTATCCCTATTTTCTAGAGATTGTCTTGGATTTACAGAAGCCATCCTAGTTTCTTATTTGATCCCCCTTTTCCTTAGGATGTCCCTATTTTCATCAAAGAAATGTTGGAGGGTATGCTACAATTGGGAGCAATGGACAGGCTATTTCCCCCTACAGCAACCCTCTTCCCCCACTTTATGTTTGCACATATATGAAGCTGCTAGTCATAGTTCTGGGTCGGTGCCAGAGTAGTGCAAAGGGGGGGAAATGTTCTGTTTCCATAAGGAAATGATTGTCCATACACAGCCTAAGGAAGCTTCTTTTCTGTATCTGTTCTCATCTCAGAAAAGGTAAGGTATTAGGCTGCAATCCCAAACACTCTTTCTAGGGAGGAAGTCCTACATATCCTCCAATATTTCTCCAAAGAAAATAGGGATGTCCTGTTACAGTGGTACCTCGGGTTAAGAACTTAATTCGTTCTGGAGGTCCATTCTTAACCTGAAACTGTTCTTAACCTGAGGTTCCACTTTAGCTAATGGGGCCTCCCGCTGCTGCCGCACCGGTGCTGAACGATTTCTGTTCTCATCCTGAGGCAAAGTTCTTAACCCGAGGTACTATTTCTGGGTTAGCAGAGTCTGTAACCTGAAGAGTCTGTAACCTGAAGCGTCTGTAACCCGAGGTACCACTGTACGTAATAAAAATAAGAATAAGAATTTTCCTATTTATACAGCCTGGGCTGCCCCAGCCACTCTGAGTGGCTTCCAAGATATATAAAAACATAATAAAACGTTAGACATTAAAAAAAAACCCTTCCCTATGCAGGGCTACCTTCACATGACTTGGGGGTTGCATAACTCTATTCCCTCCCAACATTTCGCTGATGAAATAGAGACACCGTACCATATCCTCCAACATTTCTTTGATGAAAATAGGGACGTCCTAAGTAAAAGCAGGACATTCTGGGATGAAATCAGAAACAAGGATGGCTTCTGTAAATCTGGGACTGTCCCAGGAAAATACTTGGAGGGTCTGAGTCTCACGGAACACATCGGGACCACTTCTGAATAAACAGACACAGGATTTGACTGATACTGTTTGTGTTTACTCAGAAGTACGTAAGCCCCATTATGGTCAGTGAGCCTTACTGGTGTAGTTTGTGCCTCAGTGGCGCAAACATTATCAAAAGTGCTCCCCCATGTGGAAAAACCGCAGACCTTCCAAGTTTCCCTATTTTCCAGGAGCGTCCGTGATTTAGAGAAACCATCCCAGTTTCTGATTTGATCCTAGCATGTTCCACTTTTCCTTAGGATGTCCCTATTTTCACTGGTGAAATGTTGGACGGTATGGAGTTATCCGACCCCTGAGCCATCAGAAAGCAATCCTGTATAGGGAAGGGTTTTTTAAAAAATGTTTAATGTTTTATTATGTTTTTATATATGGTGGACACTGCCCAGAGTGGCTGGGGCTACCCAGTAAGATGTGTGGAGTATAAATAGTAAAATTATCATTATGAAATGGGACATCCCTATTTTCAATGGAGAAATGTTGGAGGGTATGGAACCAAGAATAACCCAACGTTAGTGCTGAATACAGATTATTCCGGAATTCCAATAGATATTTTATATTTTTACATTCCAGGCTGAAGTATGATCAAAATGTTGCTTCTATGGGCCTGGATCGCTCTTCTGTGTGGTAAGTATAGTCATGGCTATAAACTTTTGTGTTCTAACAGAAAACTATAGATTAAAGTGCTTTTGGGCCCATGTGCAACCTGCAATCTATGTTGCACTCACTATTTTTTATTTAACAAAATTGATATACCTCTTGCTAGAACAAAAGACCTGTAACTTGTTTACAAAAAAAAAAACAGTCTAAAAAAAGTCATGCAAGTCACTTTGAGCTCTTTAGGTAACAAGTGACTAGTAAGTCTTAATAATAATAATAATAATAATAATAATAATAATAATGTACAAAATAAAACCAGTAATTATTACAAATGTTGCAGTTACATACCTGGATAGGCTTGCTAGAATAAAAATGGTTTAGCAGCCCCTGAAAAAAGTACAGCTTGCTGTCTTCCCATAGGCATCAGGTTTGCCACTGTGAGAACAGTAGGCTGGGATATATAAACCTTCAGCTTGATTCTGCCTTCAGAGGCAGAATACTGCCTTGAGAGCCATTTTGATTTTCAGTTATTTCAGCAAATGCATCCCTCTCTCATCTCTTTAGGTAGAGTTTCTGGGCGAACCCAAGGGAAGCACTTCATAACAGCCTTCATGCAGAACGGGTTGCAGAAAAGCTTTGAGGATGGCAGTTTCAAACTCTTCGTCACTGGCCTAAAAGACGGCACCTCTGTCACTGTTGCCGTCTACAAGACCAAGTTCCTGAGGGACTTTGCTGTCAAGCGTGGTGAGACCGTGCCAGTACAGTTGCCAAGTAACGTCGAAATGGTTGGAAGCAACAAATTCCACTCTGCCATCATCGTCAGGGCCTCCCATGATGTCACGGTCCTCTCACTTAGCTCCAAACCCAACTCAGTTGCCACCACAGTTGTCTACCCCAGGTATTTACTTGGGAATACTCACTATGTGGTGACACCTTCTGGAGAGCCTTCCAAGGGCTTCCAGGAGTTCTCCGTGGTATCCAGCCAGGACCCTACTCAAGTCTTCATCTATGTCACCGGCCAAGTGACTTTCCATGGGGTGACTTATGGGCCAGGAAGCAAGCTCGTTGTCTCCCTTGAAGCTTACCAAGCTGTCCAGATCCAAAGCCACCAGGACCTTTCTGGCACCAAAGTGGTCTCTCACAAGCCGGTTGTAGTCTTGTCTGGCCACAGTTGCATTTGGGCACATGACAATTGCCAGCATGTTTCTGAGCAGCTGCTGCCCACCCGGAAATGGGGCAAAGAATTCTTGGTAGCCCCACTGCCCTTCCAGACCAATTACGATGTGGCCTATGTGGCTGCTTGCCAGACAACACACCTCCAAGTCCGTTCTGGCAGCCATTATGCCAAGCACCATTTGCAAGATGGGCAGGTGATTGCAGTTGAAGTGAGAGGCCAAAAGCCCCTGTACATCTCTTCCAATGTGGGTGTCCAAGTGCTGTTCTATGCCACAGGAGGGGTCAAAGAGGGTGTTCCCTATGACCCCTTCCTCTCTGGTGTCCCTGCAATGTCTGACTACTCCAAATCCTACGGCATCCTGGGTCAGGAAGGCTTCCACAACCTGGGACTCATTGTCGCAGAGAGCAGAACGTGCCAGAGCATTACCTTAGACAAGCAACCACTGCATTATGCACACTGGCGGGTCATACCAGGCACTTCCTACTCCTGGACTGAGTTCATCTTCAGTGGGCACCAGGCAATGCACTTTGTAGAACACCCCAAGTCTACCTTCAGCCTTCTGAGCATTGGGGTCGCCCCACACAATAGCTATGGCTCTGTGGCCTTTGCCATCCATTGTAAGTCCTGCCTTCCTTCCTCCTTTCCATCCTTCCTGTTACATGCTGCACATCCAGAGTTCCCCTGATGTATCCAAGATCTCAAAGTCATCTCCAGCTGCCATATCTATTTCTTCTTCTTAACCTATATCACCATATCCCAGAGGTAAGGAAGCTGCGGCCTTCCATATGTTGTTGGACTCCAACTCTCAACTACATGGCCAATGAACAGGGATGGTAAGAGTTGTAGTTCAGCAACTATTGGAAGACCACCAGTGTCCAGTCTCTGGTGCAGGAGCTATTGTGTCTTTTTCAGTCTGAGCACAATTAAGGCAAAGTTTGCTTCTGCACTAGAGCTATTTAGCACTGCTAAGGCATTGCTTGTACCCAATCTGCTGGAAGAGGGATTAAAATGGTCATTCCATGCAGTATTTAATGCTGTTACTAAATTTAGCAAAGCCCACCAGCAATGCTATTTTTCTAGAAAAAGAGGTGCCAGAATTCACCATGAACGCCTCCCTCATTCTCTTAGAATGGCAATGGCACCCACCTGAAAGGTGCCGGAGCTGAGTTCTAATGAGTTCTGGCTGGGGGGGGGGGACCCTGCCCACCAGCAAGGCCAAGATCCTACAATAATGTTTATTCAGAGGCCTCATTCAGTAAAAATCCCTACAATTTTATGAAGAAGTGTGGCTCCTACCAACTGTAGTATTAGAGAGGAATTGCCTCTTAAAAGCTTCTTAATTAATTAGTTCCTGTTCTAATCAGAGGGGCTTTGATTCTTCATTTCCTCACTTCTTTCTTTTTTATAAATTGCAGTTGACAAAAAGAAAAGAAAAAGAATGAGAGCAAACCAATGAGCAAAGTTTGCATCCCTTGAGAGAACAGGAGCTAAGAAATTCAATGTTAAATGTACTTATGATTTGCTTAATGATTTTATTACATGTTCACTTTCACTGAATACTGTGCACAGCCTAAACACACACACACACATCAAGCCGTCTAGAAATTTTCAAAATAAAATAAATCTATAATGCCATGTCCCTACTGAGCAGGAAGCATAAGATCCAAGAAGGAAATTTCTAATTAAAAGGGCATTAGCCCTGAAAAACTTCAGTAACATTACCTGTGCACTCCTGTTGCATTTTTAATTTTAAAAATTGATGCAAATCAGGTCTGAAAAAGGTGGATGGGGAACTCAGAAAGCACTGGAATGCAATAGATTGGCAATTCCATTTTCTGGATTCTCTCTGACAAGTGAGTGATCAAAGGATTAAACTGCTACTATGGAACATTTAGGCTGCTTTAGTAAGGGAATTATGGAAGTCTGAGAACAGTGTCATGCAGCACTGTGTTCTCCCATCTTGGGTGTCCAGATATTGCTGTATCCCATATCTCATCATCCCCAGCTGGCTTTGGATGATGGCAGTTGTAGTTCAACAACAGCTGGGGACCCAAGGTTGAAGAGCACAGGTACATCACGCAATTTTGCAAAAAAGGGAAACAGAAGTGATCTTATGACATGTCAGACCATTTGCTCACCTAGTCCAGAACGATCTGCTTTCCTTGGCAGCAGAGCTGCAGGGCCCTACCCAACTCCTGTTACCTGACTCTTGTAAACAGAGGTGCCAAGGACTGAGCCTGGAACATAGACACAACCTGCAAATGGTCTAGAACTGACCACCTTCTGCAAGCAACAGTTCCAGCTGATCAGCCAGCTAGCAAGGGAGTGAGGGGCACCAAAAGTGTAAGGCAAAGGCAAAGAGGAAGTGCTTGAAGAACTGCTTTGCATGCAGAAGGTCCCAGGCTCAATCCTTGGTTTCTCCTGGTAAGGCTGGGAAAGACTCCCTATCTGAAACTTTTGCAGAGCCACATCCAGTCAGTGTGGACAATGCTGAGCTTGTTGGGCCAGTGGTCTGACTTTGTAGGAGGCCGCTTGCTGTGTTTCTATGTGCTTTTGTACTTACATGACCTACTTCTCCTTAGGGCTGAACACAAAGAGCCTTCTCTGATTAGCTGAGTGCACAGGTAGGTTGATATGGGAGGAAAGAAGGGAGGACAGTGCTATATGAAGAAACCTGCAGTCCCATGATCCCTTTCCATCAGTCATGCTTGGCTTGGGCTGATGGAAGCTGATGCCCAACAACATCTGAAAGGCCACAGGTTCCTCACCCATGATGTACAGAAATGGTTGGTGGTGGGGGGCAGGCTTTGAGATTCTGTGGAACAGGGCGTTATTTCATAGCCTATTATTTCCTTTTCTCTTTCATGTCTTTCTGGGCCTTCCAAGATATTTCTGTACTGATAGCTCTTCCATTTACCCTCAGTGATTCTTTGTGTTTTCTAGCAGCCCTGCCTCCACTGAGCCCTCATCCCATCCCCTGCAGTGGAACGAGTTGTGGAAAGGGATACGTATGCAGCATTACGCACAATCAGCCACAATGCGTCCCAGAACCTCAGACCTGCAATACCATCCAATGCCAAGAGGGGACAGTGTGCAAGATAGTAGAGGGCCATGCCAGGTGTGTCCCTCACCCACCATCTTGTCATCAAGTCCAGTGCCAAGAAGGGTCAATATGTGACCTAGCTGATGGCTTCCCTAAATGTATCCCAGCACCGGCATCCTGTGAGAATACTCAATGCAAGCCGGGAACAGTGTGCAGCCTCATCAATGGCTGGCCCCAGTGTGTGCCCCACCAGCCTTCCTGCCACAAAGTCCAATGTGAAGTTGGGACTGAATGCGAGGTTGTCCATGGTCAGCCTAAATGTGTCCCGGTAACAGCATCATGCGGTGTCCTTCTTTGTGATAAAGGGGCCATGTGTGAAGTGATCGATGGCTACCCGACGTGTGTCCGATTGCCACCATCCTGCCTGCAGACTGTCTGCGAGCAAGGGACTGTGTGTAATATTGTGGATGGTTGGCCTAAGTGTGTCCCAGGGCCATCCTGTGCCAATTTAAATTGTGTGGTTGGCACTGAATGCAAGACTGTGAACAACTTGCCCAGGTGTGTACCTGTCTTACCGTCCTGTGACAAAGTTCACTGCAAGCAGGGGACAGTATGTAAGATAGCTAATGGGATTCCCGCCTGCGTGCCCATTGCACCTTCCTGTGGCACGGTTCACTGCAAAGAAGGGACAATCTGTGAGATCACCGATGGCATGCCCAAGTGTGTGCCCACCGTAATATCCTGTGACAAAATCCAGTGCGCAGTGGGAAATGTCTGCAAAATGGTGAACGGGTGGCCCAGCTGCATGCCCCTGCTGCACTCCTGTGAGAATACTGAATGCAAAACGGGAACAGTGTGTGATATTGTCAATGGCTGGCCAATGTGCATCCCAGATAAACCAACGTCGTGTGCGTCCTTTACTTGCACAGAAGAGGCCGTGTGTGAAATGGTTGATGGCAAGCCAACATGCATACCCATCCCACTTTCCTGTGACAGATATAAATGCAGACAAGGAACTGTATGTGAAATAGTGCATAACTGGCCCACGTGTGTGCCTTTGCCATCTTCATGTCAGAAAACAAAATGCGCAGAGGGGACTGTTTGCAAATTCATTGACGGAAGGCCCAAATGCATTCCCATCCCTCCCACCTGCGACAAGTTGCAATGTAAAGTGGGAACCATCTGTAAAACTGTTAACGGATGGCCAGAATGTGTTCCAGCCCCTCACTCCTGTGAAAACGTCTACTGTAGACAAGGGACCGTTTGTAAAATCATCCAAGGTTGGCCCCAGTGCACAGCAATCCAACCGTCCTGTGACAAAATCCATTGCAGTGAGGGGACAACTTGTAAAATGGTTGATGGTTGGCCTCAGTGTGTGCCTATCCCACCCACCTGTGACAAACTCGGCTGCAGGGATGGGACTACTTGTGAAATTATAGATGGTTGGCCAATGTGTGTTCCAATCCCAGCCTCTTGTGACAAAATCCAGTGCAAAGAAGGAACACTTTGTAAATTAGTTGATGACTGGCCCACCTGCATTCCCATTAGAAACTCGTGTGAAAAATTCACCTGCAGTACAGGAACTGTGTGTGAGATATACGAAGGGCATCCAAGGTGTATTTCCATCTCACCTTCTTGTGACAAGTTTAATTGCAAAGAGGGAACTGTTTGTGAAATCAGTAGTGGTTGGCCTAAATGTGTTGCCCGTCCCAGCTTGTCCTCTTGTGAAAAATTCACCTGCAGTGCAGGGACCAAGTGTGAGATATACGAAGGACATCCAAGGTGTATTTCCGTCTCGCCTTCCTGTGACAAGTTCCATTGCAAAGAAGGGACAGTTTGTGAGATCAGTAGTGGTTGGCCCAAATGTGTTCCCCGTCCCAGCTTGTCCTCTTGTGAAAAATTCAGCTGTCATGCAGGGACCAAGTGTGAGATATACGAAGGACATCCAAGGTGTATTTCCATCTCGCCTTCCTGTGACAAGTTCCATTGCAAAGAAGGGACTGTATGTGAAATCAGTAGTGGTTGGCCCAAATGTGTTCCCCATTCCAGCTTGTCCTCTTGTGAAAAAATCAGCTGCAGTGCAGGGACCAAGTGTGAGATATATGAAGGGCATCCAAGATGTATTTCCGTCTCGCCTTCCTGTGACAAGTTTCATTGCAAAGAAGGGACTATATGTGAAATCAGTAGTGGTTGGCCCAAATGTGTTCCACGTTCCAGCTTGTCCTCTTGTGAAAAATTCACCTGCAGTGCAGGGACCAAGTGTGAGATATATGAAGGGCATCCAAGATGTATTTCCGTCTCGCCTTCCTGTGACAAGTTCCATTGCAAAGAAGGGACAGTTTGTGAAATCAGTAGTGGTTGGCCCACATGCGTTCCCCGTCCCAGCTTGTCCTCTTGTGAAAAAATCAGCTGCAGTGCAGGGACCAAGTGTGAGATATACGAAGGGCATCCAAGATGTATTTCCATATCGCCTTCCTGTGACAAGTTCCATTGCAAAGAAGGGACTGTATGTGAGATCAGTAGTGGTTGGCCCACATGCGTTCCCCGTCCCAGCTTGTCCTCTTGTGAAAAATTCAGCTGCAGTGCAGGGACCAAGTGTGAGATATACGAGGGGCATCCAAGATGTATTTCCGTCTCACCTTCCTGTGACAAGTTCCATTGCAAAGAAGGGACAGTTTGTGAAATCAGTAGTGGTGGGCCCAAATGTGTTCCCCATTCCAGCTTGTCCTCCTGTGAAAAATTCAGCTGCAGTGCAGGGACCAAGTGTGAGATATACGAGGGGCATCCAAGATGTATTTCCGTCTCACCTTCCTGTGACAAGTTCCATTGCAAAGAAGGGACTGTATGTGAGATCAGTAGTGGTTGGCCCACATGCGTTCCCCATTCCAACTCAGCTTCCTGTGAAAAATTCAGTTGCAGTGCAGGGACCAAGTGTGAGATATATGAAGGGCATCCAAGATGTATTTCCGTCTCGCCTTCCTGTGACAAGTTCCATTGCAAAGAAGGGACAGTTTGTGAAATCAGTAGTGGTTGGCCCACATGCGTTCTCCGTTCCAGCTTGTCATCCTGTGAAAAAGTTACTTGCAGTGCAGGGACCAAGTGTGAGATATACGAGGGGCATCCAAGATGTATTTCCGTCTCGCCTTCCTGTGACAAGTTCCATTGCAAAGAAGGGACTGTATGTGAGATCAGTAGTGGTTGGCCCACATGCGTTCCCCATTCCAACCCAGCTTCCTGTGAAAAATTCAGCTGCAGTGCAGGGACCAAGTGTGAGATATACGAAGGGCATCCAAGATGTATTTCCGTCTCGCCTTCCTGTGACAAGTTCCATTGCAAAGAAGGGACTGTATGTGAGATCAGTAGTGGTTGGCCCACATGCGTTCCCCATTCCAACCCAGCTTCCTGTGAAAAATTCAGCTGCAGTGCAGGGACTAAGTGTGAGATATACGAAGGGCATCCAAGATGTATTTCTGTCTCGCCTTCCTGTGACAATTTTCATTGCAAAGAAGGGACAGTTTGTGAAATCAGCAGTGGTTGGCCCAAATGTGTTGCCCGTATGAGCCCATCTGCTTGTGAAAAAATCAGCTGTCATGCAGGGACTGTGTGTGAGATATATGAAGGGCATCCAAGGTGTATTTCCATCTCGCCTTCCTGTGACAAGTTCCATTGCAAAGAAGGGACTGTATGTGAGATCAGTAGTGGTTGGCCCAAATGCGTTCCCCATTCCAACCCAGCTTCCTGTGAAAAATTCAGCTGCAGTGCAGGGACTGTGTGTCAAATGGCTTATGGCTGGCCCAGATGTGTTACAATCCCACCCTCCTGTGACCAATTTAGCTGCAGTGCAGGGACTGTGTGTCAAATTGTTTCTGGTTGGCCCACATGTGTTCCCATCCCACCCTCCTGTGGAAATGTCAGCTGCAACGTCGGGACTGTATGTCAAAAGGTTTTGGGTGGGCCCCAATGTGTTCCCAGCCCACTTTCCTGTGCAAAATTCAGTTGCAGTGCAGGGACAGTGTGTCACATGATTTCCGGTTGGCCCCAATGTGTTCCGAGCCCTCCTTCCTGTGACCACTTCCATTGCCAAGATGGGACAGTTTGTAAAATTGTGGACTATTGGCCCAGATGTGTTGCTGTCCCACCATCCTGCGACAGAGCACATTGTCAAAGGGGGACTGTTTGTGAGGTCATCAGTGGCTTGCCAACTTGTGTACCCATTCTGTCTTCCTGTAACAAAACTCACTGTACACAGGGAATGGTGTGCCAGATTGCACATGGCCGGCCAACATGTGTTCCAGCAGCAGCACCTTCTTGCGCTTCTGTACATTGTCAAGTGGGGACTGTGTGTCGGCTTGTTAATGGATTCCCCCAATGTGTGCACAACCCACCTTCCTGTGACAAATTCCGCTGCAGTGTGGGGACTGTCTGTCAGATTGTGAATGCCTGGCCCCAGTGCGTCCCTCTGCCGAGCTCCTGCCATAGTACCCATTGCCAAAGGGGAACTGTATGTCAAGTTATAAATGGACGGCCCAAATGTGTGCCAGTAGCAGCACAAGCATGCCGCACAATTCACTGCAAGAGAGGGACAACCTGTAAAGTTGTGAATGGTGTCCCCAAGTGTGTGTCTGTTTCGCCCGCCCAGTCAATCTGCTGGGCCTCTGGACAACCCCACTACCACACCTTTGACGGACGCAGCTACGATTTCCAAGGTACCTGCACTTACACCGTGGTTAAGACCTGCCAACCCACTTCAGCTCTACCTTTCTTCCATATCTACACCAAGAGCCAGAAGAACTCCCGGTTCTCTTTCGTCAGCCAGGTCACCATCTCTGTCTATGGCTCCAACATCACCATGGTCAAGTACGAATATGGCCTTGTCAGAGTAAGAGCCCATCTCTGTGTGGTTTTATTAAAACTGAGGAAGTGGCGCCAGGGGTTGGGAATCTATAGTTGTTGCTGGACTTCCACTCATTTCAGACTGTTGGCCATGCTGGCTGGGGCTGATGGGAGCTGAAGTCCAATAACAACTGGAGGGCTACAGTTTGCTTATTTATTTTATTTCTCTCACACACCTGTCCTTCACTATAGCATTCCAGGGTAGGTTACGAGAGACAGAGAGAGAGAGAGAGAGAGAGAGAGAGAGAGAGAGAGAGAGAGAGAGAGAGAGATTGGTTCAGCAGCCTCTGCAGGGCCAGCAGTTTCCTACACCTTTTTTCTTTTAATTGCTGCATTTGAAGGTGGTGGAGATTTTGTCTCCTATCTACCTTTGTCAGAATCCACTTATCTGAAACCATCCTTCTTTACTGTGCTATTCTCACAGTTTTTCAGACACTCCCTGATTTTCCAAATTTGCATTTGTCATCTCGGGGTGCTTCCCCACAAAAGTACTTGACTATTCCAAGTATAAGGATCCGTACGGATCAGGAATAAATATGGCTCTGTTTATATTTTAATGCGAGCCTACCAAGTTCACATTTTCTGAAATGATATGCAAACTCAAACAGCTCACTTTCAAAATTTGCAATTCTCTGAATTTTGCATTGCAGTTCTGCAACCGAAAAAAAGGGCCGAAAATGTGGCATTAGGGGAAAGCATACATAAAAACACCAATAGCAGTGAAATGCATTGTTAGAAAAACCTGCTTGCAAAAATGTGCATATTTGGAGAAATGCACAATGAAATGTTGACAACTTTGTGAGAACATTATTTTTAAAAGAAACGAATTGCAAAGTGAAGCAGAAGTGCAGCAAAGTGAACTTAAGCCTAGAAAAAAGAGAAGCTGACAGATTCATGCAGACCTACTCCTTTCTCGGTGTTGTTGTTTTATGTAAACGTGTTCTGACTGAGCCACAGAAACATAAGAAGCTGCCTTATGAAAAGTCAGATTATTTTCCCACCTGGCCTAGTATTGCCTGTTTTGACCGGCAGCAAGTCTCCAGCTACAAAGTCTTCTTGATCCTTTTTTGAACCTGGAGATATGCAAGGGACTTTCTTTTAAAAATCTTGTTTCACGTCACCTGGAAGTCACGTGATCACAAATGATTCTACTTTATTAGTCAGCATCACAACTAAAGTTGCTTCTTTAAATAGAAACTTCCTGAAAGAGAAGTTTGACCTCACTAGAAATGTTGGCGTTTTGCTTCGTCACAGCCTTTGCAAGCCTGGATTCCTTCAGAGGTTGTTGGGACTCCAACACCCATCGTCACTCACCATTGGCCACACTGGCTGGGGCAGATGGGAATTGGAGTCCCAAAAAGCTGGAGGGCATCGGGTGAGGGAATGCTGCTGTGTCACTTCAATTAATTTGCAGAGTATGTGTATATAATCTTGACTAAAGAGAAACATTCTTTTATCTGCCTTTGCCGCTTCCAGGTCAACCAAGTACGCTCCCGCCTGCCCATAAGCATGCATGATGGGAAGCTCTCCTTATACCACAGAGGAGGCCAACTGGTTGTGGAAACATCATTTGGTCTGAAAGTTTACTATGACTGGAACTATTACCTAGTGGTGAAGGTCACTCCAGCCTTTCGGAGCCATATCTGCGGCCTCTGTGGCAACTACAACGGGGACCCCAATGATGACTTTATGACATCTTTGGGAGGCTTTGCCACCGATCCTGTGGAGTTTGGCAGGAGCTGGAAGGTGGAAGATGGTGATAGCCAATGCAGTCATGGCTGCCATGGCAAATGCTGGCGCTGTTCTCCAGAGATGGCGACCAGATACAGAGCGGAGACTTATTGCGGCCTGCTTACTAAGCACAGAGGTGGCCCGTTCCGACATTGCCATGCCTTGATTGACCCCAAGCCCTATTTGAACGACTGTGTGATTGATTTGTGTGCCTTTGAGGGCTACAAGCAGATATTATGCCGAGCACTGAAGACTTACGCTGATGCCTGCCAAAGAGAAGGGGCAGTGATATCTGCCTGGAGAAAACATGCCGGATGCCGTGAGTACTGCAGAGCATTCATGGAGAGAGGGATCGAGCTACTTATGCAATTATGGGCACCTAGATGAGGGTCGTATTGTAGTATTTATTATTTACGTGTGAAATACATATCCTGCCCTTCCTCCCAAAGGAGTCTAGGGAAGCAAACACACAAAAGATAAAGTCATTAAAACATCTAAAATATATAAGAAAGTTTCCAACACAGATGCAGACTGGGAACGATCTCTGCTTAAAAGGCTTGTGCAAAGAGACAGGTGTTCACTAGGAACCAAAAGATAACAGAGGTGGTGCCTGTTTAATATTTAATAGGAGGGAGTTCCCAAGGGTAGGTGCTATGACACTAAAGAACTAATTACTATATTGGACAGAATAGTCCTCCTGATAAGATGATGTCTGCAGGAAACGCTCTCCTGGAGAGTGCTGTGATCAGTTGGGTATAAAAGGGATGAGATGATCGACTAAGTAAGCTAGTCCCTGAACTTAGCCCAGTATTAATTGGCAGCCGGTGCAATTCTTTCAGCTGCATCATAACATGGTGGTAATATCCTGCCCAAGTGAGCAATTGAACTGCCACAGTTTGCACTTGCTAAAGCTTCCAGACTAACCTCAAATTCAGCCCTGCATAGACCCATTGCAGTAATGCAACCTGTGGTTCCAGAAGGGAATGTGTTTCATAACTGAAATACTGAAATACTGTGCACATATATGGGCATATATTAAGTAAGTGTATTCAGGAATACACTATCATAAAATAAAATAAAAAGATTTGACCCTGCTATTTAGCTAAAAGGCTCTCCCGCAGTTCAATAATCCTGAACCACCTTGTGGGGGGAAATGGCTACTTTAGTTTGATAGATAAGCTTACAGCAAGGATGGGAAACCTATGTCCCTTCAGATGTTCTTGAACTACAGCTCCCATGATCCCTAGCCATTGGCCTTGCCAGCTGATAGGAGAACCCTGATTTAGAACCTCAATGTATTAGATGAAATGTTGCTATCAAGCAAAGATAGGGCTTTATGTAAGAACAGTGGATGTGCTCACCTCTGCTTTCCTTTCTGCAGCCATGTCTTGCCCTGACTACAGTCAATACATGCCCTGTGGCTCAGCATGTCCTGCCACCTGCACCAACCCTGATGCTCCAAAGCAGTGTCACCTGCCCTGCGTGGAGACCTGCCAATGCAAGGCTGGCTATGTGCTGGATAGTGGCAAGTGTATTCCCAAAAACCGGTGCGGCTGCGCCTACCATGGTCGTCTCTATGCACCCAATGAGCAGTTCTGGGGTGACCAGCAGTGCCATCAGCGTTGCTTGTGCAGGGCACAAGATAAAAAAGTGATCTGCCATGAGTCCCGTTGCAGGGAGATGGAAGGGTGCCATGTTGTCAATGGCATGAGAAAGTGCTACCCCACCTACTATGGGACCTGCACTGCTGTGGGACAGTTGCATTACGTCACCTTTGATGGGTTGCGCTATGACTTCTACGGGACCTGTGTTTATCGCCTGGTTGAAATCTGCCACAAGAGAGCAAACCTGACCCAGTTTCAAGTCCTGGTTCGGCATGAAAGGAAGGGACACAAGGATTATCCTGCCACCAAAGCCATTGAGATCAAAGTCTATGGTTTTACAATCACAGTCAGCCATAGTAAAGTCTTGGTGAGTGCACTTCTTCTGCCCTTCTGCTAGAACTCATGCAATTTCTTGGATTTATCAATCACTTCTTATTTCTGAGGTTGATTATTCAGTATGAAAGGCGCAAGCAACCCAAACAGGATGGTTTATTCACAATTATGTATTGATGTGGAGCTTTTAAAGTTCTTCTGTCTCCATAGTATCTTCTCCTAGGGCTAGGCACAACTCACCATTTTCATTTATGTATTTGCTTCTTTGTTTCCTTTCTTTTATATCCACACTTTCTTCCATAATGGAATCCAAGGTAGCATACATGAACAAAGCTATCAATGGTTACCAGTCATGATGACTATGTTCTACCTCCACTCTTAGAGACAGAATGCCTCTGAATACCAGTTGCTTGGAAGTACAAGTGAGAAGAGTAGCCCTGTTGCACTTGTATCCTGCCTGTAGGCTTCCCAGGGGCATCTGGGAACTAGAATAATGAACCAGATGGACCATTGTCCTCATCCAACAGGGCTGTTCTTGTGTTCTTTTGTTCCCAAATATCTTGACTTGCAAGTTGAATACCTACAGGTGGTCCAACTATGTGTCCATTTATTTGCTGTGGTGGTTAGGACTGATGAGTGTTATAGCCCAAAACATCTGGACAGCATCCAGTTGGGGAAAGTTTATCTAGCACATTACTGTTTACTTAGACTGGCAGTGGCTCTGAGACAGTGATTGGCAGGCAGAGTCTTTTCCATCACCTACTGCTACCTGGTCCATTTGAGTGAAGGCAAGACCTTTTCCCTGAAAAGCATGTGTTGTCCCACATCTGCTTTATACAACATCTCTAAATTATTTTCTCTCTTTCTTTCTCCCTGCCTCACCTACCTTTTCCAGTTGAATGGATTGTTGGTCCACCTGCCCTACAACATTGAATACAACAAAGTTGCCCTCTACCACCATGGCTGGGATATTGTGATCACGACTGATTTTGGTTTAACTGTCGCATTTGATGGGACTAACAATATCCGTCTCACAGTGCCAGGAGCCTACAGGGGTGACGTGTGTGGCTTGTGTGGCAATTTCAATGGGCAGGCAGATGATGACATGACTCTGCAACACAGCCAAGTTCTGACAACTAACCCAGGGGACTTTGGCCGAAGCTGGAAAGTTCGGGACATCCCAGGGTGCATTGAGAAGGAGAAGGAGGCCTGTGCAGACCTTGTGAACATTGAACACTCACAGAAGACGAGCAAGGAGTGTGGCCTCCTGCTGGACATGCGTGGCCCTTTCAGGGAGTGCCACAGCAAGGTGCCACCTCAATCATATTTCAAAGACTGTGTCTTTGACTTTTGCTCCAACAAGACCAATAAAAATGCCGTCTGTCACATCATCTCCTCCTATGCCGCAGCTTGCCAAGCATATGGCACCAGGGTCTATGAGTGGAGATCTGCCAGTTTCTGTAGTAAGTTCATGGGCAATAACCTTGCAGAAAGTGAACCCCCAGTTCCTGCCAAGGAATGATGAGTACATAAACTCCCGGGCCAATTTTCAAAATTATTTTATTTGATGGAGAAAGTGGATAGAAAGTTTTTCCCTTTCTCAGTACTTAGAACTTGAGGTTGTCCACACTGATTGGCAGGTGATTCAGGACAAATAAGGGGAAGAGCCTATGTTCACAATATATGGAACTTGTTGCTACAGATTGTGGTGGTTGCCACTTGCATACACACAATGGGTATTTGACAACTATCTGTGGAATGAAAAGTGGTATATAAATACATTATAATATGTTATGTTCATCATCAATGATAGCTATAGTCACGATAGCTATAGGCGACCTCCAAGTTTCAGAGTTCATATAAATCTGGGTAGCAGTTGCTGGAGAGCCTGATGGGAAAATCAGTTTCTTCATCCTCTGCTTGTGGACTTCTCAGAAGAATCTGGTTGGGCTTTGTGGAAAATAGGATGTTGAATTGGATGGACATTTTGATCTGATTCAGCTTATGCACTTATTCCTAGAGTCAGGATCTGGAGATCTCCCTGTTAGAAACAAGATTTGGAAATGTCTGAAAATAGTATCTCTTCCTACACTTACATTTTAGGTTGGGGGGATTAGGAGAAGACGCCAGACTAAGTGGGGTTCCACCAGGTCAATAATGTCTTCCTGTCTCTCTCCAGCTCCTAAATGCAGCGCAAACAGCCGCTATAAAGTCTGCACCAGCAATTGCCCAGTGACGTGTCTCAGCCTCTTTAACCCAGTAGCGTGCACTACTAGATGCCACGAGGGATGCGAATGCAATGAAGGTTATGTTCTTAGTGGCGACCAGTGTGTTCCCATCTCCCAGTGTGGCTGTGTCCACCAAGGCTTCTACTACAAGGCGGGTGACTCTTTCTATCTCAACGGATTCTGCAAGGAGCGATGTGTATGCCAAGTAGGTGGCATCATGGACTGCCACCGTTCCTCCTGTGGTCCTAATGAGGAATGTCGTGTGGTGGAAGGTGTCCAGAAATGCCACTCACTTGCCCCCAAGAGGAGTGGCTCTTGTCATGTGGCTGGTGACCCACACTATCTCACCTTTGATGGCACCACATTTGACCTCCAGAGCAATTGCACCTACACCCTGGCTAGGAGCTGCACGCAGAAGACCTCCCTTCAGCCTTTCTCTGTCAACGTGGAGAATGAGAGGCGGTCCAGGGGCAAGGTCTCTGTGACGAAGGTCGTGTCAGTCACAGCTTATCAAAACACCATCTCCATCTTGCGGGAAAAGAGAGGCATTGTCCTGGTAAGCCTTTGTGAAACGGAGAGCAATGGAACATGGTTGCTTGGTCAAAAGACATGAGGTGTTGAATATATAGGGTGAATGGTTGCAGCAATGAGGTTGTGTAATGATATAGCTATGGGTAATGATGGAGTCAGCGGATGGGCTGTAGCTCAGTGCAGAGAATCTGCCTTGTATGAAAAAGGTTCCAGGTTCAATCCCCAACATCTGGGGCTGGCAGAAACCCCTGAGAAACCCTGGAAGGTTCCTGCCAGTCAGTGTAGACAATACTGAGCTAGATGAACCAATGGTCTGATTCAATATAAGACAGCTTCCTATGTTCAAGATGAGCAAAGTAGAACTGATGTGTGGCTTGTGGGCAACAATCAATATACAATAGTCATATTAGCAAGGCTAGATCTAGGTTTGGGAGAGGCCTTGGGAAAGTCTCTACAGGTGGGCCCCCTACTTCATTAGTGAGTCCCTGTGGCCAAAGCTGGCAGCAGCAGCACTATAATTAGTGTTTGACAAGGCCATATTACCCATAGGTGCTAGGGGTGCGGGGCACCTGGGCGCTGGGCTCTTGGGGCACCAGCCGAGAGTCTGGCGAAGAGCCCACCCGCCAGTCAGAGTGCTGCGGTGGGCTCTTCTGCTGCGGGCGACCAAGCCAGCAAGACGCTGGGTGGCCAGCCAGCTCTGCCCTCATGCGCACCTGGGACTGGGCAACTGGGGGGGGTGCTGGGTGGATCTTTGCACCCCGGCGCCACATATGCTTTAGACAGCCCTGGTGTTTGGGCAGCTTGGCAACACCTTTTTTAATTTTCTGCTTTGACATTACAGGAAATCTAAAATGGTGGCTCCAAGCCATCCAGCACAAGGGGTCCAGGGCAGGTGTCAGTACAGTGATGGGCCCTGCTTGCAATCTGGAGAGCCTAGTGTTCAGGGATGCTATGTGCTAATGCTAGGTTTTCATGTATAAGGAACATACGTAGAAAACAGACCAGTAAACAAGGGCAAAAGGTGAAACTACATCAGATGTTGGTTTGGACACATCAGAGGAGTGGCCATTGTCTCAAACTGTCTGCCTGCCTAATTCTCACTAACTTTCCACTGCCACAGGTCAATGGTGCAACCACCTACTTACCTTTCCGGCTGGTAAGTGATGGTATGTGGGCGTACTACCATGGTGACAACATTGTGATTCGGACAGACTTTGGCTTATTCGTCTCTTTTGACCAGCTCTACCATCTTGTTGTCAGAGTACCTGAATCCTATCAGGGCCAGACCTGTGGCCTATGTGGTAATTATAATGGCAGATCCAATGATGACCTCTTCCTGCCCACTGGCCACCCAGCCTCAAGCGTCCAAGTCTTTGCAGCTGCTTGGAGAGTGGACATCCCCACGGCTGTCTGTGCAGATGATTGTGCTGCTTCAGTATGTGGTGCATGCAGAGAGAGCCGGAAGGCCAGCTATGTACACAGCAGTCAATGTGGCATACTTCAAGCCCCATATGGGCCTTTCAGTGCCTGCTTTTCCACCATCAACCCTGCAGACTTCTACAACAATTGCGTGCATGACCTCTGCAAAGCAAGAGGGAACACTGTTATCCTCTGCCGGGCTATCCATGCCTACGTCACTGCCTGTCAAGCGGCAGGCGTCAAGATCAAGCCTTGGAGGACAGCAGCATTCTGCCGTAAGTCCTCCTATAGAACTAGCTTTCTAAGGCCACGGGCACCTAACCCCACTTTCACAACCCCTGCCAGCATCCTTCTTGATCTGTGCACACTAGTATCTATTAACAATCTCAACTATACATCCAAGAACAGGTATTACCAACTTGTCTGCTCATAGTCCGGGCTTGGTGATGGAAGCGGCAGCATGTAACATCCCAATTCGTACTTTGCAAAACAATGGTAATTTTCCAAATGCAGTGCTGCAACCCAGTGTACAAAAGTGCATATACTAGAGTAAAGTGTGCATAAAAGTTCATATATTAGGGGGAAATAATTCACAAAGATGCTTTATATTATATTATGCTTTATATTATGCTTTATATTAGGGAAAATCACTTTGCAAAAATGTGCATGTTAGGCAAAACTGCATACAAAATTGTGCATAATGGCAGGGGAGAAATCACATTGAAATGTTGTTGAGTTTTCCCAATGACTTTAAAAAAAGCAAACTGACATGGAAAGGTGGAGACCTGAACTTAAGATGGGAAAAACAAGGAACTGGGAATAAACAAAACTGTGAGATTTACCAATTCCTATTCTCCATCTGGCCCCCATATGTTGTCAGGTGTGAGGCAGCTGAGTCCAGTTCAAATTTGTACCCTTGATTGGCCAAGTTTGGCATGTGGGATGGTGATTTCTTATCCATGGTGCAGACAGTACTGAGCTAAATGGACAAAATGGTCTGAACTGACTCAGTATCCTAGCTCCCTATGTTCCTAATCCACACTCATCTTCCCCTTTCATATAGTAACTTAATTTCCCCCAATCTTTCTTGCAGCTATGAAGTGCCCAGTCAACAGTCACTATGATATCTGTGTCAGAGCTTGCCCCAGAGGTTGCAGAGAAGCAGTCAGCATCACCAAGTGCTCTAGCAACTGTGCCGAAGGCTGCCAGTGCAAAAAGGGTTACTTTATGGCTGGGTATCATTGTGTGCCTATTAGTCAATGCCGGTGCTTTCACCAGGGCACATGGTTTAAGGCAAGTGACAAGCACTTTCTGAAAGAACAAGAACATGTTACCCCAATACACAAGCTGGCTAAACTGGAATGCTTGAATTTAAAGGCATTTTGTTCAGTTGGGCTGTGGTTTCTCTACAAAGATCAGGAAGAGATGCTAGTGTGTGTGTGCGTGTGTGTGTGTGTGTGAGAGAGAGAGAGAGAGAGAGAGAAGGAGAAGGAGAAGAACTTTAACATGCACACTTACAAACAGAGGCATAACCACAGCTGCACACTCACGGATTGTTCTTGTTAAGAATTCTTCTGCACCAAGGGGAAATAACACCTGAAGAAGCGTTTTGCTCCAACAGGAAGCAGAAGGCTAGCTGGGATGTTTATGGAGCAACGGGAAGAAATAATGTTGTAGAGGCAGAAATGGGAGTGGTGTAGGTTCCAGAAGCACATTTGTGGGTGTCACACGCCCCTGAAGTTTGTTAGGCAGATCTTTCAGTGTGGTGGCATTCATGTTTTGGAATATGCTCCCACTGGAAATTAGGAGGCACCAACTATTTTTTTCTATTTTTACTCAATGATGTGATGAAAGTATTTTTTTTTCTGTGTCAAACACACACACAAATTTGCAGTTGGGTCAGCAGAACTGTGATGATAACATATGGAAGATACCACATAAACTCACCATACATTATATGATTTCAAACATGGCAAAATGCAAGAGTCACCTGCTTTCAACACTGTGTTTTTATTGGCAGGTTGGAGTGAAGGTGATCACAGCCAACTGCAGGGAGGAGTGTACCTGCCATCGTCAAGGTCGGGTCGTGTGCACACCGCTACCATGTGCAGCTGGACAAACCTGTGTCCTGAGTAATGCCAAGTGGACTTGTATCCGGCAAGAGGGCCATTGCACCATTTCCCAGGGGCACATCTTCACAACTTACGACGGGGTCTCCGGAAAGGTTCCCCCTGTAGGGTCCTATGAGATCTCCGTGCTCATCAACGCCAAGTCTACATCTTGGTTCCGGGTGGTAATTCAGCTGCAGAAATGTCCTGCATGCCCCACACCCCTTGTGGTCACTGTCACAATCTATTTCCACAAGCTTATTGTGCTGGTGAAGCAGGACAGCTCAGTCACGGTAAGAAGTAAAGAATGGAAGCTGACAGAACTCATATTCTATCAGCCATTATACCTTTCAGTATCCACTTCTTATTTCCACATAAGCTTTCTTGCCAATCAACACACCGCCATCTCACCTCCCACTCTTCCCACTAACTTGTCATCCTTTTTATTTATCCGCCCTGGAATGCTGTAACTAATGAGCATTAAATTAGTGTATACAGTTGCAATAGACACTCTATAAGGGTGGGCTTAATTCTCTTTGGCCAGCCTTCCATAGGATTCATGCCAGAAGTGGGCAGGGCCAAAGCCAATAGCAGGAAAAGCAATAACTGACAAGGGGTGGAGCCACTCTACACTTTCACACATGCATGCACCATACCCACCCACATAAATACACACGTTACACATTCAGCACTCACCACACAGTCAGTTGGCAATAGAGATGCAGGTTGGATGAGACTAGTCTGATATAGGAAAGCTTTATATGAAAACTCTGGAGAGGTGAATGCATTGAAAAATGTAAAGCATAGAATTGGAGGGGCACAGAGATCAGAGAAAGAAAAAAGATGTTAAGAATTGCCACTGAATCAGCAAATTTAAGGGTAGTTTTGCTCAAACAAAATGCCCAGGGATATAGAAGACTATCAGTAGTTTTCTTAGGGGCTAGTGACATAATTCAGTGTGTGTGTCACAGAAAGAGTGAACGAGCGAATAGGTACACTTCTGAGTCATAGGCAATGGCGTAGTTGAAACTCAAGTTGAATTCGAAGGTCCTCTCAAGAGAAACTTCTATACAAATTCAAAGGAAAATGAAAGGAATTTTGATAATGGGCATGTGTGTATTCACATACATTTCTGGAAAGGTTCCCTAGCAAATGTGCTAGATGTATGATACAGAAAATGGAGGGAGGGGTGGTAGTCTAAGGCCATGAGCTTTAGAAGTTTTGTGACAAAAGCTTGAAATTGATGCAGCTTGCAGGATCCAATGCAGAGGCTTAAGGGGCAGGTCATGGTCATATCATGGGGAAGAACAGCGAGTTTAGCAGAAGCTATATCTCTCCAGCAACCACACATCTTCTAAAGTTATATTGTTGTTCTCCTTGTTTTGTCTTTATCATCTGTAGTAGTTCTAAATGACCATCTGGTTTACATGTTATAGGTTAATGGGCACCCAGTGCATCTTCCAGTCCAGCCCTCAAAGGAAGTATCGATAAGCCTGGCTCAGGACTTGGTGACAGTGGCACACAGATCAGGTGTGCGGGTTCTCTATAGCACCAGAGGAGACCTGACAGTGGCCATCAGTGGTGAACTGGCCAACAAAGTATTCGGAGCCTGTGGAAACTTCAATGGGAATGGTGCAGATGACTTGCGGTTACCCAACGGTAGAGTAGCGCACACCATTACAGAGGTCATTAGCCACTGGCGAGTCACGACAGCTATGCAAAATGGTATGTAAGGACAGAAACTTAATCAATTTTTCCCCAATGCTTGCATGTCTTATTTCACTAATCTATTTAATGATCCCCACTGCTTAAGTCAATGGGCAAGGGTACAATCTCCCTCCCCCCCAAAAAAAGCAACTGGGACATAAATGATGGCAACTGGATACTTGGTTGTTTAAGAAAGTAGGTTTCTACTGATGCTATTTATGCTGCTCTGTTGAGCATCTCAAGGTTGCACCCCATGACCCAAGCATGGAGGAAGAAGGAGAAGAACGAACAGTTTATTGGGGCCTATTGATCATGGAAGACTGGGCCTCAACTGTAAACACATTGCCATTGAGGGGTGTGTGTCAAATTGTAGCTCATGCTTGAGGGTGTTAAGGTAAACTTATTTCCCTTTCTCTATCTATGATTTCTGCTCTTCTTTCCTCCTCTTTTCTTTCTTCCATTATTTCATCTTTGCTTCCTTTTAACTCTTTTCTTGCTTTCTTCTCTTCACATCCTTCCTTTCTTCCCCCTCTCCACAATATGTTTTTCCCTAGAAGCAAGACTCAGTCTAAACGAAGACTTCCATGGCACTGCTTGAGAGCCAGCAGACTTTTCCACCCTGGTGCTCTCCAAGTGGTCTGGACTACAGCCTGACCATTGGTCATCCTGGTTGGGGCTGCCTAGAGTTGTTGTCCAAAGAATCTGGAGGGCACCAGATTGGGGAAGAATGATATAAAAGTGCTTCTTCACCATCGTAGCTCTGTGGTAGAAAGAATGTTTTGTATGCAGGAACGGGCCAAGGGGAAACCTACTCTGACCCATGCCTAGAAATTGGGTTACCATACGTCCAGAATTTCCCAGACATATCCAGAATACTGCATTCGTCAGCAGCGTCCAGGCAGAAATCAACTAAATGTTCGGGAAATTCCAGACGTATGGCAGCCCATGTTGGCAGTGCTGATTTCCCCGATTTTCCCTTAAAATAGCTCAAAAACAGCAATTTTATGACACAAGTAGAAGTGTGGGCAAGCCTTGACAGATTTATTCATCCTTAGCAATGGCTCTTTAGTGTCTCCTGTTAAGAATAACGCCTATACACAGTTTGGAATTGCCTACCATGATGCATGTCCAAGTATGGGTATACTCCCGCAAGGGATTTGGAATACTGTTGTTTGATATACAAGGCACTGAATGCTCTGTTATTCCCTTATATTTTTAGCTCGTTTTAAAATCCACTCCTACTGAAACCTAGAATCGAGATCACTTTTGGATGCCAACCCCTCTGAGGCAATATCTGGACTGGTATCGTGACAGAAACAGCTTCTCCCTGGCTGAATCCCAGGGATAGGACAGGCAGCTGGTCTCCCAAGCACAACGGAACACCTCTTGCTGTTAAATAAATGTGCTTCCCTGCAGCAAAGCAGATTGGGTTCACCAGCTCAGAAATGCTGAGCTTCAGCCCCACAGATATTGTACATAAGTTCGGTCACTAGCTAGCCTCTGCTTCCTTGAATTTGCATTGTTTGATGTTTTCAGTTTGTTTCACTAGCTTATTCACATTTGACTCAAAGTGTCACATAGCATACATAGAGAGGTCCCTCTGCCAAACAGTACAACACATTCCAATCTGATGTGTGATAGCTGCTCCCCAGGTACACAGCAAAGTCTTTCTTGGTTCAAGGCTACAGCTGTCTTTGGGGCATGGCAACGGGCGTTTCACAGCAATGTCTTGACCCAGACCGAGTTGAATCTAACAGACAAATCAATAAAAAGCTTTTGGTAAAGGTCTTGCATTTGTGTGAGTCCATCTTGACAGCTTTTTGGCAAAATAATGATTTTACACAGCTGCCTGGGCTACAGTGCTGGTCAAAGAAGTACTGAGAGTACCACCAGGCCTCGGTGGTTGTAGCTGGCATTTGGGTCAGTGCTATTACTTCCACAAGGACGTAGTCCATCAGCAACTGCCCAGGTTTTCCTGGTTTGGAGTGTATGTGCAACAAGTAGGATTGCTAGACAAGAACTGGTAGTCATGTTTGGAAAAGTATTTAGTGAGAGGGAGTAAATAACCCCAATTCATTGTTTCTGTAAGCTGTTTTGGAAATAGAAAAGCAATAGAAAAAATGTGTTAAATAAGCAAATAAATCGCCTCATAAGAAGACTCCCACAGGACTGGGGGTGAAGAAAGAGGCAAAAATTGACCTTATGATCATATTTTGGTGATGCTGTTCCTCATGGCCAGTATGTAAAACATGACAACCATTCAAATGGTGGGTGGTTCCTAATACTGCCTCCAACTCTTTCATTTTTCTCCTTCCTCCAATCTTGATCAACACTTAAAGCCTCAGGCTTTGTGCCAGCGCTGCCCTTCCACAATTTGCCCATGTCACCTAGATGTAGCTCAGACCTGTAGGCTGTAGACCAGCCTTTGTCAACCTGGTGCCCTCTAAATGTTTTGTAGTACAACTCCCATCATGAAGTGACCACTCTCGATCCTGAGTGAGACCCTGTCAGCATATAAAACCTCTGCTCAGAGATCTTTAGTGGTTGCCAATTTGTTACTGGGCCAAGTTCAAGGTTACTAGTGGTATGTAAAACCCTTAATGGCTTGAGACTAGTTTATTTGCAAGATCACCTTACCCCATATATGCCCATTTGACCACTGGAACTTGCACTGTTACAGATGCTGCATATTACTCGTCCCACACTTATCTGAAATTGACCTTTTAGTGTGGCAAAGACTACACTTATTCTCTGCCTATTGAAAACAGGCAGGCCCCTTCACAAGCCTATCCAGACAAAAATATGTTGACATCTTTTTTACTATATATTTTAATTATCTTTAACTGTTTTTGTTGTTTTCAAATGGTTTTATTGATAATTTCAATATTTCTTGTAAATTGCTTAGAGGTTCTACTACAATCAAGCAGTGTATAAAAACTTTGTTAAATAAAAATAAATTTTCTTAGGGTTTTATGTTACTTTGGGTTTTGTGCTGCATTACACTCTTCCAAACAACATGTTCATACAAACTGAAATGAGCGGGACATTATCTCTTCTGTGCCCACAACACGCCCGTTCATGTGGCTCCACAGCAAACGAAACTAGTGGTCTCAGGTACAGGGAAAGATGGAGGCCCTCTGGTCACAGCATCACATTTTTATTGTCAGCTGTGGCAGGGGGGAAACTGGGGACAAGATAAGAAAGGAATATTGCTAATGGCGGTGAGTTCAGTCAGAGTAAAAGGACAAAGCTTCCTCAGAGCTCCAGGCAGCAGAGCCTAGGGATTGTTTCATGACAGACAGCTTGCATCTGATACACAAAATGGAGGTTATTGCTCTCCAACTTCTCAGAGGCAAATGCGACACATGTTTTGAATAAGCAGATTCCATACAACTAACACCGCTAGGTGACATATGCAAGAGGTTCTAAGAGTGCGATATATCATCACAAGCACGAAGTAATATTTGAGGTTCTTCCTTTACATAGCTTTTTGTTGTTTTTATTTACCTCAGAAATTTTACCTCAGAGTGGGGATGGCCCTACAGTTAGGCGGAAGTTAACCAGGGAGGGCAGCAGCAACAGCCACCTTTCCTGAATCCCCAATAATTCCCCTCAGTGTCCACATGGTATCTCATAATCTGGCCTGCTGCCTCAGGGGCAGTGAGGAATATTATCCTGCCACCAACGCTGAGGTTAAGATTCAACTGCCAGTCTGGAACATGAAATGGGTAAGTGGGGTGTGGGGGGGTGCCATCTTGTCCTTTGTATCAGAAAGCAAACTACCTTCAACCATTGCAGGTGCATTTCAGCTAATACGTGCAGTGCGTGAACTGAATTATTCACGGCACAATCTACTGCCCTGTTCTGGAAAATTCATCTTGTTCCTCAGTTAGTTTAACTGCTAGTCAAGCTGAGGAGACTGTCATGGGTGGTGTATTGAAGGGCCTGTCCAACAGCAATGTCCTGACTGAAACATTCTCCTCAGACAGGATGGCCTGGTTCCATTTTCCAAACGCTTTTAATTTATTCTTGCCTGTGCCTTAAAACTCTTTGTGTTGGTTTCGGGGTCCAGCTGCTTCAATCTATTCACATGTTTGCCATTTTATTTTATTGTACAGTTGACTGTGTTTATCGTAAGGCCCCCTGATAATGCAATGTTTAAATAAAAACATAAATTGAAGCACCTCTTTAATCTAGCCTTTGACACAAGAGATGTGTGCTTTCAGGACTCACCGTATTCCTGTGATGGTAATCTGTTTTAACTGGTTTTAATTCTGAATTTTAAATTGTTGTAGTCCACCCTGGGGCCTGCTGGCAAACAGTGGGTAATACATTAATTAATTAATAGTGACCTGAGGAGTATTTTTTAACTTTCAGTGAGGGGATAAAAATAAAGAAAGCTATGCCTAGCCTTCTTTCAAAACTTTCCCAGGAACAGTGCTGAGGGAAACCCCACCCCCCATGTACCCATCCAAGTCATTGTTACATATTTAGACTCAAGAGAGATTAAGACAAAATTAAGCCAGATGTCTTTATTAGGCATAATCTGCTCCCTCTCACATACCTTTAATTAAAAGATCTGAAGAAATAGATTTACTGAACAAAGTCATTCTAATGAGATTTTGCCAAGAATTACCCAAATTATAGGATTAAATTCATCATTTCACCATTCACCCAAACACCAGTTTCCCCTTAGTACAATTTAGTAGCTTCAGTCTGGAACTTTCAGTTTACCAAGTGACTCTTCTCTCACTTCACACTGAGAAGGGGAAAGAGAAAGTGAAAGTAGCAGTTAGAACATAAAATGGACTGAACCAGTGGTGCAGTTAGGCAAAATAAAGATTCAATGATCTTATGGAACATCTCTTTTTTAGGTCCTTCAAAATGTCACCTTTTCTGTTTGGGATCCCTCCAGTCCACCATACTGAGTGGAGCTATAGACTTCTACCCTCAAGTCCCACCTGGTGGCATTGCTAGACCAAACAAGCCTCTACTTTAGTAATTTCAGTGAAGCTCCTAATGTAATAATTGCTGAGTTTGCTCTCATTCAAGGCAGCAGGGGAAGCCCTGTGTTCCCTTGGTGTTCTTTCTTTCTTTCTTTCTTTCTTTCTTTCTTTCTTTCTGGCCAGGGATTCTGAGCACTTCCATGTGCCTGGATCTACCTACTTTTTAATTTCCAGAACACACATGATTATAGTGTTTCTCTGCGGCATCAATGAGAACATAGGAAGACTTCCGGGGTGGCGCCATCGGCAATGGCGGACTCCCTCTGATCTGGAGGGACTAGCTCCACGCGAAACGGGTCTTTTCCGCTACGGCGAAGCGGGGACCCTTTCAAAAATCACAGGCGGATGAAGCCTGTGACCATGGGACTCGGCGGGCACCTTTAGCGCCCCCCCAACCCGCAAAAGAACCCACTAACGGGCTCCGGAGCGAAGAGGGGGAAGTGGCGCGGTGCTGAGAGTCAACTGCTTCTTCCATGGAGCGAAGCCGCACAGCCGTTGCCGGAGAGTGCTGCCTTTTTCCTGGGACAATTTGGCTTCTAAAATAATCACCCGTGAGTACTTAAACTCGGACAATTGGACTTTAAATAAGGACTTGTGAGCAAAAAGGAAAATTGGACTTAAAAGTTTACCTCAATTTGGCACTGAAACGGGAAGGTCTAAACAGGAAGTCAGCCTTCCGTTTCTTTGTAGATAGATTAAAGCAAAGACATGGCAAACTAGAGCTTAGAAAATCGCTTGTAAAAGATTAACTTTCATCATTTAAAATTGTTGAACCCCCTTCGGAAGCAGGAGAAGAGGGGGGATTTTTTCGGACTGTTTAAACCTGCAGAAGTGAGGGTAAAGTAAAGTAACTTTCCACCGTCCTGATCCTGGAGCGGGGTGTCAGGACTGATGTTTTTTGAAGCTCATTGACCAGAGACAAACGTTTTTGACAGATAGCTATAAGAAGAGAAACATTGATTCCATTGTTCCCCTTCGCTTTTAAAGGAACAAATATTGACAAAATATCTGAAAAGGAAACTTTGTTGTTAGACTTGTCTTTAAAAGAAAGAACAAATAGAAGTTTTCCCCCCTAGAGGGAGACTGTGAAACTGTAACCAACTCCGGGGAGCTTGCAGCTGTTACAGATTACAATCGTGGGAATAGACTTCTGACCTTGCAGGACAATATATTCAGAAGCTCTGCTGTGTGCTTTCTGTAAAACAAATGCCCTACTGGAACAGCTACATGAGAAGACGGATTTGATGACTGATTCGGTCAGAAATTTTGAACAGGCAGTGGGAAATTATATGGAGCCCACCCAGGAATTAGATCAGGAGTGTGCCCTGACAGAACAGATGAGGGAAGAGGATGTTGCTGAATCTTGGGCGCCAGAGATGGAGGGAGCTGTGGCCCAGCAGGAACATGAGCTTTTGGATTTGACAAATGAATTTGGAAAAAGCCAGATTTGGAAAGATAAAGTTTGGTTTGGAAATGGGGGGCTGGATAGACCCCCCTATGCAGGGATGTTTGGACTTTTCAAGTCTGGCAATGGGCCGTGAGATGTTTGGGGTTGTGGGGGCTCTTAATTTTGGAGGGATTTTGAAACATGTTCTTAAATACCACATGGAGTTTAGTGTGGACTATGGAAAAGGGGCTGATTTGTCGAGAAGGGTCAAAAACATTGTTAAGCTGGAGTTCCCACGAGTGAAAGGAGCAGGAGACAAAGGAAAATACAGTTATAAATATGAAGAAGAGCCGCGGAAGGGACATGGAAGAGACTTAAGGGCCTCGGATACAAGGTTACTAGGTTAATGCGCTAGATCGATGGGATAATAAGGACTGACAAAACCCGGGACCAGGAGGAAGGGACGCTGGATGAAGATTGGATTGTTTTTATTTCTTTTTTTTACTACTAGGATTGTTTTATAAAATTGATGAATGTTAGAAAAATGTTGGAATGAAATTACTTGGCTTTAGTAAAAATGTTTAAAGAATTATGTAAGAATATTATGGTTATGAGAAGTTGGTAAAAATAATATTTAAGTTTTAAGGTTTTTTATAGTAAGATAAAATTAAAATAGATTAAGGTAATGTAATGACAGAATATTATGAAATATGGAAAGGATTTGCTGCGACAATTAACAACTAGGATACAAAAAAGGGAGGAGGAGGAGGTCAAAGAAAGAAGGTAATGACAGTTGAGGATTTGAGAATGATGGATTTGTTTTTGAATGTTTGTGGTGTATTTTTGTTTTTTGAATTTGTATTGTTTGATGTGGTTTGTTTTTTTCTTTGCTTCTTCTTTCTCTTTTTCTGCTTTGTTTTCTTTTGTAATTCTAAAATTTTTTTCAATAAATATCATTTAAAAAAAAAATAAAAAAATGAGAACATAGGAAGCTGCCTTATTCCGATTCAGACCATTGGTCCATCTAGCTCAATTGTATGTACCATGAGTGACAGCAGGGGTTCAGATAGGAGTTTTGCCCAGTCCTGCCTGAAGGCACCAGGAATTGAACATGAAACGTTCTGCATGCAAAGTAAATGCTCTACCACTGAGCTACTTCCCTTCTCCAAATCAAAAGGGTGGCTAGGCCCAACTGCTCCTGTCAGAGACGTCTGCTAGAGGAACTTGGCCCAGGCCCACCACAAGCCTTGTTGCCTGAAACCTTGTTTTGTGCATTGATGAATAATTGGAACATGTTGCACAGTAAAATAATATGCAAGATGCATATTGGGCGACACACACACAAAAGGAGTTGATTCAAGTGCTCGAGAAATCTAACCATGGCACAATTTGATAAGATACTAATTAAGAAGTCATATCACAGTGGTTCTTCACAGTGGTTTATTTTCCCTTTTCTAAGTCATTTTATGGTTATTTAAGGAGAATTTTTGGACACCCTTCAAAGTCAACCAATTTAATTTTCTCTGCTGTTCTTAGTAATGAATGTTGTATTTTAACTTTGTTATTGTATATCATTTTCTTCTTGTTAATTGCCTTGTGGGGCTTGTTAGGGGTGAATGTTGGTGGGTGGGTGGGTGTGTATCTAAGTTTGCTGACAGAAAAGCAGAGAACATTTATGAAAGAAGCCCATATGGCTTGCCTCACCTGGTGCGCTCTTCATTTCATACAGGTTTTCCCATTCATGTCAATAGAAGGGGCAATACTACCTACCCATACCCATGAGAACAGAGAAGAGTTGCTTCCACTGAAATGAATGGGTAAACCATTCCAGTTGGGAACTCCACATATATATTTGAATCCCATCACTTGCAAGGGACTGTAGAATTCCAGGGCATTTCTGAAGATCCAATTGGCTGGATCTCATCCAGTTTTAATAAAAAATCTGTCAGACCAGATTCCAATTTTTCATCACTCTAATTTTGTTAGTTTTGTGGTTTAGATAGAATCCAACACATTCTTTACTCCACTAGAGGGCATGCTACTGCCTTCCCCACCAGTGGAGCCAAATAGAAAGCTGCCAAGTTCTTGGTGGTGGCAGCAAAAAATCTGGATTGCTGTGTTGCAGCCAAACTTTTGAATTGGATCATCTTGGTGGTGAAATGTGGGGAGGGGAGGAGAGAGATAGAGAGATTTGGAACCTCTTATGGGGCACCATATCACCAACATGCTTTTGCAATTGTCAGTGGAGCTCTTTTTGATGGCCTCCATTCAGTCATCCACAAGGAGAAGCAATTAAAAGCTAACTTACCAGGGGGTGAAATCTCTGGCTGTCCAAGATGTCAACAACCCAGGAACATCAATTACTTTCACTTCATTTGGGCCAATTAGGTCATCCGTCTGATCATTGTTGAAGTTTCCACATGCCCCACATACTTTGCCTTTCAAATCTGGACTAGCAGTCATCTGCACCCCTCCAGCTAGGTCCAGTTTTACTTCAACTTGAGGTGAACTCAGGGTGATGACTTCACCAGACAGATTAAGTATTATTGACTCTGTGATTTTGGATGGGATCTGAACTGGCAGCCCATTCACCTGAAACACACAAAACAGTTAAACAGGACAGTGAAACAGTGAAACAGGGTTCCCTTCCAAGTGCTTGGCATCAAACTAGAGCTATAAGGTTTAACTGGTTTAATCTGGAAGATTGGGGATGGGGTACATGTGGCCAACCAGAGGTTGTGGGACTACAACTCCCATCATCTTTTATCATTGGCCATGGTTTTGGGATGATGGGAGCTGGAGTCCATTAACATATGAAGGGTCATAAGTTCCTCATTCCTGCAGAGTATACTGATTTGTTGATGACTGAGAGCAACCTTGGGGGCTAGACCCTGCACCACCACATGGAGTGGTTAGGCGAATGCCGCTGGTCTCCATGAATACCATAATTTTTGTAGTGGCAGCCATGTTTTGTTTTTGTTTCTTACCCACATTGTGATGGAAATTCCATTTCAGATCAAGGGAATGCCCAGATGGAAACCCAGACAAGGAGGGCCCTGGGACAGCATCTTTCATTTTCCAAGGGCACCTAGAACAGCTCTGTTAAGGGCCCCATGTTTGATTACATTTATATCCTACCATTTCTCCAAGAACCGTATGGTGTTGTACATGATTCTCCACCCCAGGCCCCTCATTTTATCCTCATAAACCCTGTGCGGTAGGTTAGCTACCCCACCCTGTATTTTTGGAAGCCTTGTAAGAAGCTACTGCAGAAGAGTGAATGTGACTAACATCATGAGATGAACTGGTGCCTGAATGGTGATACCAAAGGGGCAGTGATTCTTTGGGGAAGCTGAGGCCTAGGCATTTGATCAGACTAATTTTATCCTTGGATAATTGTAGCTGACATAGTAGTAGTGGCTAAAAATAGGCTTGCCATATTTCAAAAAGTAAAATTTCTTTTTTAGGAAACCACCATAGTTGTTGAACTTTGTTTTTTTATTGGTTGTTTTTTTTTTTAAGGAAGCTTCCACTTTCTGGCTAGGCCCTGAGTGGCATATTTCAGTTCTTCAAAGCTGGGCTGTTATGGACCCTTCACAAAGAGAGAGATTTTAGATTTAGATTTGCAGAGTTGGAAGGGACCCTTAGGATCATCTCGTCCAACCCCCTGCAATGCAGGAATCTTTCACCCAACACATGGGACTCAAACCCACAACCCTGAGATTAAGAGTCTCATGCTGAGATAGCCAGAGAGAGAGAGAGAGAGAGAGAGAGAATGCTTAATGCACGCATACAAAGAAAACCCTCCCTGCTCAGAATTCCTTTCCTGACAGATGTGGAGCATTTCAATTCAAGAGTTCCGGGGGGGGGCAGAAAACAAAACAAAACCCGGGTTGCCATATGTCCAGGAAATTCCTGGCATCTCTTAAAATTCAAAAAATTCCCCCTGGACACCATTTTAGGTGTCCGATTTGCTGCCGTGACCAGAATTTTCCAGACGTATGGCAAGCCTAGGCTAAAACATCCAGGACCAAGGTGAAACTGTTCAAACATCCTTGTCATTTTTGCTACTGCTAGGAGGAGTAATGTTGCAACATTGATACTACGAAAATGTTGGTGAGGGGTTTTATTTGCCATTACATTTACCTTATGTTGCTTCTTTATTATGGCTGTTAATATGAAATTATTATCGCAATTGTTGATTTTATGATGTTGTGTTCTCATAAGCCAGTTTGAGCATAATTTTTTTTTTGTGTGTGTGTGAGAGAGAGAGGGGGGGGAAAGCGGCATACAACTAAAGTGGTTGTGGTGATGATGTTTATAATTCAGTGACTGACCCAAAGTCATGGCAAAGTGGGGGATAATAAAATAAATATTGTATAAATAAATATTTTAACACATAAGTAAAACTTCTCCCTTTCTTGTTCAGCTTTCTACTTACCCAGGCCTCCTTCTGTCTATTCACAGTAATAAATAGACCCTTGTAGAAGAAATAGAGCAAGTTGGCAGTGACTACTCCATTGGGTGGACATGACGAAACTTCCACAATCACACGGAACCAATAATCAGAGTTGAAGTCACAAAGGGAAGTCAGTTGAAAGGTGCCAGGAGCAGGGACTTTCCCAGAAAGGCCATCAAAGGTGGATAGCTGAGCTCCAGGCATCAGGGAGCAGCGGGACTCTGTTGGGAAGATAAGTTTAAAAATATACAACCTGAAGTGTATGGAATTTCAAAAGCCTAAGCCTTCTGGGGCAGGATGAAACCAGGACATTGCCCTCTTCTATGTGGAAGATTTGGAACTAGTAGTTTAAGAGATCTGCTTCCTCCTTAGTTTTCTCTTTACTAGATTCAACATAACCAGTTCTTTTAGACTTTCTAGATAAGACTTTTTATAATCTTTGTTGCTCCCCTTGAAGCCTTTTCTATTTTGTAAATAACCGTTTATTGTGGCACTGTGAACTGTGACTCCCTACTTAGAAACATTGGAAACTGCAATAGTCAGAGCCATTGGTCCATCTAGCAATATGTTGTCTATGCTCACGGGCAGTGGCATTCTAAGATTTCAGGCAAGGGACATTTCACAGTTGACCTGGAGTTGCTGGGGACTGAACGACCTTGAAAAATGCTTTTTTGAAATTTCAAAGGAAGTTCCCATTGGCACCAATGGAGGGCTGAATCTATAATGCCCTGTCAGTAAGGAACCCAAGAAAATAAAGAGAATCCAACAGTGTTTACCCCTCTGTTCACAAGAACAAGTAATCATCACAAGTCACCTTTCCTGTGGCATTGCATGACGCCATCGATCACCTCGCAAGTTTCTTCTCCTTGGCAAGTGATGGCCTCACACCTGAACCCTCCAACTGCAGAGCAGATGCATTTCTCCTTGCAGTCATTGAGCACCACAGGTTCATTAGGCTAGGGATCAAGAGATAACACTGGTATACAGGGGGAAAGGGTCAGAGAACACAGCCTAGGACCACTAGGAAAAGAAAGATTTTCGTAGTAAAGGAAACCATCACTGAAAACTTAAGACGAGCTGGACTTGATCTGGCCACTGGGCATCGAGACCAGAATTCTGTTCCCATGGTGGCCAACAAGAAGCCCTATAGGAAGTCTGCAAGCCGAATCTGAGTACAACAACATTCTTGCTCCAGCAGCAGAGATAGAACCTAGCCATTGCGATTAATAGCCATGGATAGATTTCTGATCCGGAAATATGTCTAATCCTCTTTCACAACCATTCAAGTTAGTGGTCATCACTGCCTCTTGTGAGAGTGAATTCCATAATTTAACCAGAGATGGCTGACCAAAAGGGTTGTGTATAGGCAATCCAATACTATCCCCATCACCACCACTGCCTCCCTCTCCACATACCGGGAAATATCTGCCACGCTCAAAGCAGCCACACTCATCCAAGGAGATGCATTTGAGGCCATCAAAGAAGAAGCCAGGATCACACTGGCAGCCCTCGACACAGTATTCCGGGCATCGAATGTGGTCAGTCAGTCCAGCACACTGGGTTTCACAGATGTTGGAACAAGTGGTATAATAACTGTTGGCAGGGCAAGTCACGGCTGCAAGAAAAGGGACACAGAGGGTTAATCGGGGGGTCCCTCATATAGCAGAAGCAGCAGAATTAAACCTGCCTGCTTTGGATGGGCATATGTGATGCTGGCCAGAGCAATGCTAGTCAACAAAAAGACCAGGTCACAGGACCAATGAGATTTACCCCTTGGACAAGTGGAAGGAAGCAATGGAGGTTGATGCGTTAGAGATGATGAGAAGCTAGCCCAACAACCTCAGTCAGCCCCCAAGTGGTCCTTGCTTGCTTACAACACCTTTTTACTTACAACAAGTCGGCAATGGCTCTGCCCTTCATTGCCCCAGGCACCACTTACTGGTAGTCTCCTTTCCTTGTGCCTTGCCTGTCTCAGTGGGTACCAACCACCACTGGAAAGAAGGAAAGCAGAATCAAGGTTCTCTTGGTACTCACGGCAGAAGGTTGCGCTTCTCCAAGGCTCAATAGTGACCCTGGCCTCCTGGCAGGCTTTCATGTAGCTCTGGAGGCTCTGGCACAGGATCTGTTGGTCACCACCTCCTACACACAGGTCATTGATGCAGTTGTCCAGATATGGCTCGGGGTTCACTATGGCATGGCATGCACTGAATGGACCATTGGATGCAGTGAGGAGCCCACAGGAGCTCGGCTGTTTGAAAGCTTCTTTCTTCTCCTCCTCACAAACTGAGCAGCCCTCTGCACCACACCCATCCGTGCAGGGTACGCCAACAACTGGAATTTTCCAGGCGGCACCAAATTCATTCTCATCAGTGACCACGGTGCCATTAGGGAGCTGAAGATCGTCACTCTGGTCTCCATTGTAGTTCCCACACAAGCCGCCTACGTAGTCCTGGTAGATGCTGGGAATAGTGACCCTCACGTGGGAATGCAGGTCATAGGTCAGTGCAAAGCCAAAGGTGGAGTCTATTGTGATACTGATCCCATGCTGAAAGATTCTGAGATGCCCAGACAAAAGATTCACAGGGAGGCGTTGCAATACTCCATCCACCTGGAAAAATAAAGGGGATTAGCCTACTGAGTAGGGTGTGCTATGCAGAATAAGGGCCAATATATCTGAAGGAGCGTCTCCACCCCCATCGTTCTACCCGGACACTGAGGTCCAGCACCGAGGGCCTTCTGGCGGTTCCCTCACTGCGAGAAGCCAAGTTACAGGGAACCAGGCAGAGGGCCTTCTCGGTAGTGGCGCCTTCCCTGTGGAACACCCTCCCACCAGATGTCAAAGAGAACAACAACTACCAGGCTTTTAGAAGACATCTGAAGGCAGCCCTATTTAGGGAAGCTTTTAATGTTTGATGTATTTTAATATTCTTTTGGAAGCCGCCCAGAATGGCTGGGGAAGCCCAGCCAGATGGGCGGGGTATAAATAATAAATTATTATTATTATTATTATTATTATTATTATTATTATTATTTAGCCAAGATGCCATTCACACAATTAACAGCTGGGGACTGAAAAATATATTGCAAGCTCACATGGAATGGACCTCGGCAAGAGAGGTAGGGTCTTTAACATTTTTGCGCTTTGTCATAGTCCCGAAACAGGATGGGTCATCTGCAGCTGCTATTTCTGTTGGGCTAGAGAAGGAAAGCTTCCATTCACTCAAATGGGATCTCTTTTCCAATGCAAGGAGCAAACACAGGGAGGGGATGATTCAGATTTGAAAGTTTAGCAGTGTGTGGGGGTGATGGTGATGATGTGTAAGGCTTCCCTACTGCACATACTCACCCATCATGCTACCGAGCCTGCAATTGACTTCTTAGAACCATTCACACAGTAGTTATGTGTGTGAAAACTACTGCTTCTACTCTGGCCCTAAAAGAAGGATGATGAGCAAATCATCTCCAAAACAATCTTCTAACCCATAGGCAAATATCTCAGGATGATTAGCGGGTGGCCTGATCCTGGTTACAGAGTGAGTAGGAGATGAACGCCCACCCCACCAAGCTTGTCGATTTAGCAGCATGAAGAGACTCACCAGCACTACTCCCCAGTTGTTCCTCAGCAAAACAAGTTGCCTGTCAAGGACCTCCACATAGACCATCGTGGGAAGTGAGATCTCCCCATTGCCCCAAGGCTCACTCTTGACAATAACAGCTAAGGGTTTCAAGCTCTGGGTTGGCTTCTGCAGCTTGGTTAAGACGTAGGTGCAGGTGCCCTGGAAGTTAATGATTCGGCCATCAAAGGTCAGATAGAGGTCACCAACCACCGAGCAGGTGGCGTTTCCAACTGCGTGGCACTTGCGGTACCCTTCCACCGCTTTGCATTCTTCATTGGGGGTGCAGGGAGCGGTAACACACAGCACGTTTCCACCAGCCTGGCACCTGCAACGTTCCTCGCAAGTTGGATAGAAATCTTCCAAGGCTGGATAGTAGCGTCCCTTGTAGAAGCAGCCACACTCAGACATAGGGACGCAAGTGTCAGAACTCCTGACGAAGCCCTCATTGCACACACAGCCCTCCTCGCACTTCTCCGGGCATCGAGGCGGGACATGCAGGCTGCTGCAGGTCTGGTCACAGGCCTTGGCGCAATGTTCATAGTGACTGTTGAGCGGACAGGGTAGGGCTGCAAGTGCAAAACAGAGAGATTAGCCAATGTTATGCTTTAGTGGTCTCGTGCAAATCTTGCATCTACAAAGCAGTAGAGGCTGGTCCATTCGGGACAATGTGGACCTGCCCCACCAAACTCGGCCTGGCTTTACACAGCCCCACCTGAGTGCTTTCTTACTTCCAACCAGTGCAGTGGGTGGCAATAGCTGCCAGCTTCCTTCCCCTAAGTCTTTGTGTTGCAAGGAGGAGGATGGGGAGAAAACTAGAATTTGTTGTCTCTGTTTCTCATTGTTTCTGGCTCCAACTACTCTTGAGCTCCCTGCCTTGCTCCCTACACATCCTGCCATCACTGCTAAGAGAGGATCGATGTGCAGCCACATCACAGGTGCATGGTTGCTAGAGTCACAAACAGGGGATGGTATGATATCATATTCTCTCACCTTTTCTGGCAGGAGGGGGAACAATCGAAAGTGGAATCTTCTTCTTCCTGTCACACTTTTCCAGCAGAGAGCACACTGTATTTTGAATTGGACTATGAACTTTTGCAACTTTAAAGGATGGTTGCCTGGATCTGCCTAAAGCCCTGTAGCCTGGGCAAGACATATATTTGACTAAACATGTCAGTGTGTGCGTTTATATAGACAATTTGAGAGTGATTTCTTTGTTAAAAGGGAAACATAGAAAGGAGATGATGAAAGACTGTCTGGTGGGCTTGGAGAGTTACCTCTTTCTTCTCTCATTCCTTCTCCCTATTTCTAAACTGCTCTTTTATCTGCACTGTTCCCTCCTCTCATTATCTGCCCCTAGACCCTGCTGGAAATGAACTTGACCTTCCTAGCAGGAACTGCTTCAAACAATGGAGCACTCACGGCAGAAGGTTGCAGACCTCCAGGGGTATATGGTGACCCCAACAGCTCGGCAGTCTGCGGCATAGCTGGCGATGGCCGCGCACATGAAGGCATAGCGTCCCTTGTAGAAACAATAGTCGTAGATGCAATCTTGGAAGGCGCCCTCTTCGTCAACCTGGCCGTGGCACTCCCGGAAGGGCCCATCCTTGGCCAGAATAAGCCCACATTCCTGGCCCGCTGCACGCTGCTGGGCAGCTAATTCTTCCATCCCTGGGCATTTGGGGTCCACTATCTCCTTGCATTTTGGGTCAATGTTCTCAATTCCACTGCCGCCAAATACTGGCCTATCGGGAATGAGAATGCTCCCAGGCACAAGGGCATCATCTTCAGGGTTCCCGTTGAAGTTTCCACACAGGCCACGCAGGATGTCGGCATAGGTGTTGGGCACCGTGACTGACACCTTGCTGTCCCAGTTAAAGGTCACCACGAGGCCAAAGTTAGTCTCAATCACAGCATCCTGGCCCCTCCTATATAACTTGATTCTTCCTCCAGCTGCACTATAGGGAAGGAAGGTGAGCAAGCCTTCGACCTAGGAAGACAGGAGAAGATGCTGCTGTTGAAAAAATGAAAAGGATATTTGGGGCTCTTGTTTCCCACCCCCATCATCTCAACAGGAGGTGTGGCAAACTCCAGTCCAGGGGTCTAGTGTGGCCGCGCAAGTCACTATCTGACACCTTTGACCTTTCTGCGTTCACACACTCAGCCCCCGATTTGCACCCCCCTTGAGTGCTCTTGCCTGGTTGGAAAGCCAAACTCCCACTGGTATATGCCCCAGTGTGGTCCTTCCACAACTTAATAGGGAGGAGGATGTGGTCAGAATTAGTTTTCATTGGCTCTCAGCCAGCGGACAGTGGCCACAACACAACAGTCCTCTGCAAATGGCACCAGAGGGGACTAATCACTATCATAAGGATATCCCAATGTTAGCCAGACTTACCAAGACTTTGCCAGAATATTGCCTGCTGACTATAATCTCAACATCATACACGTTGACTTGAACACTCCGGGTCCAGGTCACAGCAGTATTTCCCCGGTATTCATTCTGAACATAGACGCTGAACCCTTCCAGTTCCAAGGGTCCGTTGAAAACCTCAGCAAGCACATAGGCACAGGGCCCTTGGAAATCAAATCTCTTTTGTCAAAGCTCAAGTAGTGGGGATCCCCGGATGCAGAGCAGGTGCTGTTCCCAGTCGGATAGCATCCCCGCACGCCTTTGACCACTTGGCACCGTTCCGTTGGTTTGCAAGCACTAGCTGCACACTCCACCACCCTCCTGGTCGGGTTGCACACACAACGCTTCTGGCACATGTCATCCGCCCAGAAAGCCTCATTGGGGGCATAGGGCGCCCTTCATACAGACAACCGCAGCTGCTCTTGGGGATGCATGATCCTTGGCTCAGCACAAACCCTCAAGGCACTGGCAGCCTTCGACACACACAGCTGGGCAGAGCTTTGGCCCTTGAATTTGGTCATCCATGCAGGTGGCTGGGCAGGCTGTTCCGCAGATTTGGTACTGGCTGTTCGGAGGGCACTCCAGATCTGTAGGGAAGAGAAGGGGTTGGGTGGGTCACAGTGGTGATGTTATATTGACCCTACTGGCAACATGGACTAACACAGCAGGTGGATTCCTAATACAAATCTTGAGAATGAGAGCCTGGTCTTCTGCCCTGTCACCCAGTTCCTACACTGAGTGCACTACTGTGCATTTATATTGGATCACATCCCCACTATGCATTCATAGCACTTTTAGACCACTTTAAGAATTATGATTTCCCCCAGAGAATCCTGGGAACGGTGGCTTGTTATTTAGGAGACCGCTCACCTTTAAGACTCCCATCTGAAACAAGGCCCCCTTCAGTTAGTTCATCCCCTTCTTTTCCGTGCTTTGCATACTCACAGCATCCAGAGTCCCTTCTCCAGTCACCAATTTGGGCTCCCTCGCTCTGGCAGGCATCGGCATAGGCTGCCAGGGCATCACACAAGGACTGTTTGTTGCCTTCCGTGGAGCAGACGTCAAACACACAATTTGTAAAGTAGATTGTGGGGGGCACCTTGGCATGGCAAAAAGCAAAGGGGCCATTGGAAACCTTGGTTAGCAGACCACAGTAGGCCTCTGACTCATACTTCTGGGCCTGATCAGATTCGCAAGGCTTACATGGCCCATTGCAATCATGCCAGCAAAGGCTGCCAATAGTCGTCACCTCCCAGCTTTCACCAAAGGCCGGGATGTTAGGGGCTGTGGTGCCTGCAGGGGTTTCAAAGTCATCGCTGGGATTCTCGTTATAATTCCCACATAGGCCACCGACAGCCTCCTGATAAGCACTGCTGATGGTGACGCGGAGATGGTGACTCCAGTCGTACGATACCTTCAGCTGGAAGTCAGTGGAAAGTATGACAGAGGTGCCAACCTGCAAAATTTGCAAGTTCCCATCCTTCAGATAAATGGGCAAGTGTGCCCGGATACCATTGACCTGTATTACAGAGGAAGAAAGACACAAGAGGGTAAAATCACCTTTTGCTCATGTGTAGCAGCAGAAGCTAAACTAAGCTAAGCTTCTATTGGACTACAGGTTTTGGCTGTCTTTGGATACGATTGGACACCATCTGGATGCCACGAACCTTAAAAAACTGCATGGATTTGAACCAAATTGGACATGTTTGTTCCTCAGATCCATGAGCAGGTTTTCCTCTTTCTTTGGATATGAGTGGCTGGCATTTTGAATCATGGAAGGAACCTTTAGAAGCTGCACTGATCCTTTGGTTTCTTCTGCTTCCCTAGCAATGCCTGGTACAAATTTGCTGGTGGCTTATATGTAAAGATGTCTCATAGGTCAAGATGGCAGGGGCTAAAAATGTCACCAGTCTTTTGTTTTACAACTTGAACATGTGCAGTAACCATCAGCTCACATGGCCGTCATGGACTCGTAAGTGGCACTGAACTTGCCTTCTGAATCAACTCTGAATCGATCATCACTCACCTGTACAAAACCAATTTCTGATCTGGTCATGGTGATGGTATACCCATAAACCTCAGTTGTCACCACGGTCACATAGGACACTGCTTTGTTCCCCCGGTTTTCATTCTTGGCAAAGATATGGAAAGATGGAAGTCTGAAGCTTTCAGCACGTGTTTTGACAATAGTATAGGTGCAAGTGCCTTGGAAGTCATACTTGCGTCCGTCAAAAGTGTTGTAGTGCGGGTCACCCATACCCCAGCAGGTACCATTAGAGGATGGCACACAGTGCGGTTGACCATTTATCATCTTGCACACCATGCCTCTTCGGCACTTTACAATGGTACAGCTGGGTGGTGGTACAACTAAGGACAGGAGGGAGAAAGTTAGTTGCCTGTAAACCTATTGGAGTTGAAGGAAAGCTTCCTACGTCATCATTATTAATATTATTGAAAGAATATCAGGTTTCTAACTTCTGATACACTATTGCATCTAATATCCCTAAATCCAGGGATTCAAAATTGGAAACCCTACTTTAAAAATGAAAGAAGAGAATAATAATTTAAAAATTCTGCAAGCAAACAGATGAGGGAGTCACATCTCTCACAACTTGCTATAAGATTACAATGAATCACTGTTCCCTTCACAGCAGCATTGAGGAGGCCAACACAGTTTTGGAACCGTGGGGAGGGAATGTTCAATTCTGTCTCTATGTGCTGCTACAGTGTTGACAAATACTGCCTCTCTGAAAGTGCTTTTTACATTTCAAAGGAAGTGCCCATTGCCACCAGTGGAGGGCTGAATTCATAATGCCCAGCACTCCTTGCCTATTTCGCAGGAATCCAAGAGAATACAGGGAATCCAAAAATCCCTCTGTTCATGGAGAAAAGTAATCATCACAAGTCACCTTTCTTGTGGCATTGCATGACGCCATCGATCACCTCGCAAGTTTCTTCTCCTTGGCAAGTGATGGCCTCACACCTGAACCCTCCAGCTGCAGTGCAGATGCATTTCTCCTTGCAGTCATTGAGCACCACAGGTTCATTAGGCTAGGGATCAAGAGATAACACTGGTATACAGGGGGAAAGGGTCAGAGAACACAGCCTAGGACCACTTGGGGAAAAAAGATTTCCATAGTAAAGGAAACCACCATTGAAAATGTAAGACTAGCCAGGCTTGATCTGGCCACTGGGCATCGAGACCAGAATTCTGTTCTCACAGTGGCCAACAAGAAGCCCTATAGGAAGTTTGCAAGCCAGAGCTGAGTACAACAACATTCTTGCTCCAGCAGCAGAGATAGAACCTAGCCATTGTGATTAATAGCCATGGATAGATTTCTGTTCCAGAAATATTTCTAATCCTCTTTCACAACCATTCAAGTTAGTAGCCACCACTGCCTCTTGTGGGAGTGAATTCCATAGTTTAACCAGAGATGGCTGACCAAAAGGGTTGTGTATAGGCAATCCAATACTATCCCCATCACCACCACTGCCTCCCTCTCCACATACCGGGAAATATCTGCCACGCTCAAAGCAGCCACACTCATCCAAGGAGATGCATTTGAGGCCATCAAAGAAGAAGCCAGGATCACACTGGCAGCCCTCGACACAGTATTCCGGGCATCGAATGTGGTCAGTCAGTCCAGCACACTGGGTTTCACAGATGTTGGAACAAGTGGTATAATAACTGTTGGCAGGGCAAGTCACGGCTGCAAGAAAAGGGACACAGAGGGTTAATCGGGGGGTCCCTCATATAGCAGAAGCAGCAGAATTAAACCTGCCTGCTTTGGATGGGCATATGTGATGCTGGCCAGAGCAATGCTAGTCAACAAAAAGACCAGGTCACAGGACCAATGAGATTTACCCCTTGGACAAGTGGAAGGAAGCAATGGAGGTTGATGCGTTAGAGATGATGAGAAGCTAGCCCAACAACCTCAGTCAGCCCCCAAGTGGTCCTTGCTTGCTTACAACACCTTTTTACTTACAACAAGTCGGCAATGGCTCTGCCCTTCATTGCCCCAGGCACCACTTACTGGTAGTCTCCTTTCCTTGTGCCTTGCCTGTCTCAGTGGGTACCAACCACCACTGGAAAGAAGGGAAAGCAGAATCAAGGTTCTCTTGGTACTCACGGCAGAAGGTTGCGCTTCTCCAAGGCTCAATAGTGACCCTGGCCTCCTGGCAGGCTTTCATGTAGCTCTGGAGGCTCTGGCACAGGATCTGTTGGTCACCACCTCCTACACACAGGTCATTGATGCAGTTGTCCAGATATGGCTTGGGGTTCACTATGGCATGGCATGCACTGAATGGACCATTGGATGCAGTGAGGAGCCCACAGGAGCTCGGCTGTTTGAAAGCTTCTTTCTTCTCCTCCTCACAAACTGAGCAGCCGTCTGCACCACACCCATCCGTGCAGGGTACGCCAACAACTGGAATTTTCCCGGCGGCACCAAATTCATTCTCATCAGTGACCACGGTGCCATCAGGGAGCTGAAGATCGTCACTCTGGTCTCCATTGTAGTTCCCACACAAGCCGCCTACGTAGTCCTGGTAGATGCTGGGAATAGTGACCCTCACGTGGGAATGCAGGTCGTAGGTCAGTGCAAAGCCAAAGGTGGAGTCTATTGTGATACTGATCCCATGCTGAAAGATTCTGAGATGCCCAGACAAAAGATTCACAGGGAGGCGTTGCAATACTCCATCCACCTGGAAAAATAAAGGGGATTAGCCTACTGAGTAGGGTGTGCTATGCAGAATAAGGGCCAATATATCTGAAGGAGCGTCTCCACCCCCATCGTTCTACCCGGACACTGAGGTCCAGCACCGAGGGCCTTCTGGCGGTTCCCTCACTGCGAGAAGCCAAGTTACAGGGAACCAGGCAGAGGGCCTTCTCGGTAGTGGCGCCTTCCCTGTGGAACACCCTCCCACCAGATGTCAAAGAGAACAACAACTACCAGGCTTTTAGAAGACATCTGAAGGCAGCCCTATTTAGGGAAGCTTTTAATGTTTGATGTATTTTAATATTGTTTGGAAGCCGCCCAGAATGGCTGGGGAAGCCCAGCCAGATGGGCGGGGTATAAATAATAAATTATTATTATTATTATTATTATTATTATTATTATTATTATTTAGCCAAGATGCCATTCACACAATTAACAGCTGGGGACTGAAAAATATATTGCAAGCTCACATGGAATGGACCTCGGCAAGAGAGGTAGGGTCTTTAACATTTTTGCGCTTTGTCATAGTCCCGAAACAGGATGGGTCATCTGCAGCTGCTATTTCTGTTGGGCTAGAGAAGGAAAGCTTCCATTCACTCAAATGGGATCTCTTTTCCAATGCAAGGAGCAAACACAGGGAGGGGATGATTCAGATTTGAAAGTTTAGCAGTGTGTGGGGGTGATGGTGATGATGTGTAAGGCTTCCCTACTGCACATACTCACTCATCATGCTACCGAGTCTGCAATTGACTTCTTAGAACCATTCACACAGTAGTTATGTGTGTGAAAACTACTGCTTCTACTCTGGCCCTAAAAGAAGGATGATGAGCAAATCATCTCCAAAACAATCTTCTAACCCATAGGCAAATATCTCAGGATGATTAGCGGGTGGCCTGATCCTGGTTACAGAGTGAGTAGGAGATGAACGCCCACCCCACCAAGCTTGTCGATTTAGCAGCATGAAGAGACTCACCAGCACTACTCCCCAGTTGTTCCTCAGCAAAACAAGTTGCCTGTCAAGGACCTCCACATAGACCATCGTGGGAAGTGTGATCTCCCCATTGCCCCAAGGCTCACTCTTGACAATAACAGCTAAGGGTTTCAAGCTCTGGGTTGGCTTCTGCAGCTTGGTTAAGACGTAGGTGCAGGTGCCCTGGAAGTTAATGATTCGGCCATCAAAGGTCAGATAGAGGTCACCAACCACCGAGCAGGTGGCGTTTCCAACTGCGTGGCACTTGCGGTACCCTTCCACCGTTTTGCATTCTTCATTGGGGGTGCAGGGAGCGGTAACACACAGCACGTTTCCACCAGCCTGGCACCTGCAACGTTCCTCGCAAGTTGGATAGAAATCTTCCAAGGCTGGATAGTAGCGTCCCTTGTAGAAGCAGCCACACTCAGACATAGGGACGCAAGTGTCAGAACTCCTGACGAAGCCCTCATTGCACACACAGCCCTCCTCGCACTTCTCCGGGCATCGAGGCGGGACATGCAGGCTGCTGCAGGTCTGGTCACAGGCCTTGGCGCAATGTTCATAGTGACTGTTGAGCGGACAGGGTAGGGCTGCAAGTGCAAAACAGAGAGATTAGCCAATGTTATGCTTTAGTGGTCTCGTGCAAATCTTGCATCTACAAAGCAGTAGAGGCTGGTCCATTCGGGACAATGTGGACCTGCCCCACCAAACTCGGCCTGGCTTTACACAGCCCCACCTGAGTGCTTTCTTACTTCCAACCAGTGCAGTGGGTGGCAATAGCTGCCAGCTTCCTTCCCCTAAGTCTTTGTGTTGCCCCGTAAAACCCTGCAAGGAGGAGGATGGGGAGAAAACTAGAATTTGTTGTCTCTGTTTCTCATTGTTTCTGGCTCCAACTACTCTTGAGCTCCCTGCCTTGCTCCCTACACATCCTGCCATCACTGCTAAGAGAGGATCGATGTGCAGCCACATCACAGGTGCATGGTTGCTAGAGTCACAAACAGGGGATGGTATGATATCATATTCTCTCACCTTTTCTGGCAGGAGGGGAACAATCGAAAGTGGAATCTTCTTCTTCCTGTCACACTTTTCCAGCAGAGAGCACACTGTATTTTGAATTGGACTATGAACTTTTGCAACTTTAAAGGATGGTTGCCTGGATCTGCCTAAAGCCCTGTAGCCTGGGCAAGACATATATTTGACTAAACGTGTCAGTGTGTGCGTTTATATAGACAATTTGAGAGTGATTTCTTTGTTAAAAGGGAAACATAGAAGGGAGATGATGAAAGACTGTCTGGTGGGCTTGGAGAGTTACCTCTTTCTTCTCTCATTCCTTCTCCCTATTTCTAAACTGTTCTTTTATCTGCACTGTTCCCTCCTCTCATTATCTGCCCCTAGACCCTGCTGGAAATGAACTTGACCTTCCTAGCAGGAACTGCTTCAAACAATGGAGCACTCACGGCAGAAGGTTGCAGACCTCCAGGGGTATATGGTGACCCCAACAGCTCGGCAGTCTGCGGCATAGCTGGCGATGGCCGCGCACATGAAGGCATAGCGTCCCTTGTAGAAACAATAGTCGTAGATGCAATCTTGGAAGGCGCCCTCTTCGTCAACCTGGCCGTGGCACTCCCGGAAGGGCCCATCCTTGGCCAGAATAAGCCCACATTCCTGGCCCGCTGCACGCTGCTGGGCAGCTAATTCTTCCATCCCTGGGCATTTGGGGTCCACTATCTCCTTGCATTTTGGGTCAATGTTCTCAATTCCACTGCCGCCAAATACTGGCCTATCGGGAATGAGAATGCTCCCAGGCACAAGGGCATCATCTTCAGGGTTCCCGTTGAAGTTTCCACACAGGCCACGCAGGATGTCGGCATAGGTGTTGGGCACCGTGACTGACACCTTGCTGTCCCAGTTAAAGGTCACCACGAGGCCAAAGTTAGTCTCAATCACAGCATCCTGGCCCCTCCTATATAACTTGATTCTTCCTCCAGCTGCACTATAGGGAAGGAAGGTGAGCAAGCCTTCGACCTAGGAAGACAGGAGAAGATGCTGCTGTTGAAAAAATGAAAAGGATATTTGGGGCTCTTGTTTCCCACCCCCATCATCTCAACAGGAGGTGTGGCAAACTCCAGTCCAGGGGTCTAGTGTGGCCGCGCAAGTCACTATCTGACACCTTTGACCTTTCTGCGTTCACACACTCAGCCCCCGATTTGCACCCCCCTTGAGTGCTCTTGCCTGGTTGGAAAGCCAAACTCCCACTGGTATATGCCCCAGTGTGGTCCTTCCACAACTTAATAGGGAGGAGGATGTGGTCAGAATTAGTTTTCATTGGCTCTCAGCCAGCGGACAGTGGCCACAACACAACAGTCCTCTGCAAATGGCACCAGAGGGGACTAATCACTATCATAATGATATCCCAATGTTAGCCAGACTTACCAAGACTTTGCCAGAATATTGCCTGCTGACTATAATCTCAACATCATACACGTTGACTTGAACACTCCGGGTCCAGGTCACAGCAGTATTTCCCCGGTATTCATTCTGAACATAGACGCTGAACCCTTCCAGTTCCAAGGGTCCGTTGAAAACCTCAGCAAGCACATAGGCACAGGGCCCTTGGAAATCAAATCTCTTTTTGTCAAAGCTCAAGTAGTGGGGATCCCCGGATGCAGAGCAGGTGCTGTTCCCAGTCGGATAGCATCCCCGCACGCCTTTGACCACTTGGCACCGTTCCGTTGGTTTGCAAGCACTAGCTGCACACTCCACCACCCTCCTGGTCGGGTTGCACACACAACGCTTCTGGCACATGTCATCCGCCCAGAAAGCCTCATTGGGGGCATAGGGGCGCCCTTCATACAGACAACCGCAGCTGCTCTTGGGGATGCATGATCCTTGGCTCAGCACAAAACCCTCAAGGCACTGGCAGCCTTCGACACACACAGCTGGGCAGAGCTTTGGCCCTTGAATTTGGTCATCCATGCAGGTGGCTGGGCAGGCTGTTCCGCAGATTTGGTACTGGCTGTTCGGAGGGCACTCCAGATCTGTAGGGAAGAGAAGGGGTTGGGTGGGTCACAGTGGTGATGTTATATTGACCCTACTGGCAACATGGACTAACACAGCAGGTGGATTCCTAATACAAATCTTGAGAATGAGAGCCTGGTCTTCTGCCCTGCCACCCAGTTCCTACACTGAGTGCACTACTGTGCATTTATATTGGATCACATCCCCACTATGCATTCATAGCACTTTTAGACCACTTTAAGAATTATGATTTCCCCCAGAGAATCCTGGGAACGGTGGCTTGTTATTTAGGAGACCGCTCACCTTTAAGACTCCCATCTGAAACAAGGCCCCTTCAGTTAGTTCATCCCCTTCTTTTCCGTGCTTTGCATACTCACAGCATCCAGAGTCCCTTCTCCAGTCACCAATTTGGGCTCCCTCGCTCTGGCAGGCATCGGCATAGGCTGCCAGGGCATCACACAAGGACTGTTTGTTGCCTTCCGTGGAGCAGACGTCAAACACACAATTTGTAAAGTAGATTGTGGGGGGCACCTTGGCATGGCAAGAAGCAAAGGGGCCATTGGAAACCTTGGTTAGCAGACCACAGTAGGCCTCTGACTCATACTTCTGGGCCTGATCAGATTCGCAAGGCTTACATGGCCCATTGCAATCATGCCAGCAAAGGCTGCCAACAGTCGTCACCTCCCAGCTTTCACCAAAGGCCGGGATGTTAGGGGCTGTGGTGCCTGCAGGGGTTTCAAAGTCATCGCTGGGATTCTCGTTATAATTCCCACATAGGCCACCAACAGCCTCCTGATAAGCACTGCTGATGGTGACGCGGAGATGGTGACTCCAGTCGTACGATACCTTCAGCTGGAAGTCAGTGGAAAGTATGACAGAGGTGCCAACCTGCAAAATTTGCAAGTTCCCATCCTTCAGATAAATGGGCAAGTGTGCCCGGATACCATTGACCTGTATTACAGAGGAAGAAAGACATGAGAGGGAAAGACATTTGCTCATGTGTAGCAGCAGAATCTAAACTAAACTAAGCTAAGCCTGATTCTCCATCTATTGGGCTACAAGTTTTGGCTGTTTTTGGATACGATTGGACACCATCTGGATGCCATGAACCTTAAAAAACTGCATGGATTTGAACCAAATTGGACATGTTTGTTCCTCAGATCCATGAGCAGGTTTTCCTCTTTCTTTGGATATGAGTGGCTGGCATTTTGAATCATGGAAGGAACCTTTAGAAGCTGCACTGATCCTTTGGTTTCTTCTGCTTCCCTAGCAATGCCAGGTACAAATTTGCTGGTGGCTTATATGTAAAGATGTCTCATAGGTCAAGATGGTAGGGTCTAAAAATGTCACCAGTCTTTTGTTTTACACCTTGAAGATGTGCAGTAACTATCAGCTCACATGGCCGTCATGGACTCGTAAGTGGCATTGAACCTGCCTTCTGAATCAACTCTGAATCGATCATCACTCACCTGTACAAAACCAATTTCTGATCTGGTCATGGTGATGGTATACCCATAAACCTCAGTTGTCACCACGGTCACATAGGACACTGCTTTGTTCCCCCGGTTTTCATTCTTGGCAAATATATGGAAAGATGGGAGTCCAAAGGTTTCAGCACGTGTCTTGACAAAAGTGTAGGTGCAAGTTCCTTGGAAGTCATACTTGCGTCCGTCAAAAGTGTTGTAGTGTGGGTCACCCATTGCCCAGCAGGTAGCATTAGAGGATGGCACACAGTGCGGTTGACCATTTATCATCTTGCACACCATGCCTCTACGGCACAGCACACTGCTACAGGTGAGTTCTGGTTCAGCTAAGGACAGGAGGGAGGAAGTTATTTGCCAGTACTCTGAACCAATTAGAATTCATACAAAATTTGCTACCACTTTGAAGATTTAGCATAGCTTCATATTTTTAGTTTCAAACACTTTTTCAGATCTTGAAACTATTAAATTAAACATGCTGATTAATATTATCGCGACAATGGAAACTTTTTAACTTGGATGCCGTATTGCACATCGCTTCATCTACTATCCCTAAACTCAGTTGCTTTCAAAATTATGAGCATTATTTTTAAAACAAATGAGGAGAATAAAAATTATTGCAAGCAAATTGGGTCAAATCTCTTAAATCTTACTATAGGTCTACAATCAATGACTGATACCTGCACCACATTGCCCCCTAGTGCTGCTCCTGCTCAGTGAGACTCGGCGTTATTTATACTAGGAATGGGGAACCTTTGGCCCTCTATATGGTTTTGGACTCCAAGTCCCATCAACCATAACAGGCAAGGCCAATGATCAGACATGATGGGAACTGGAGCCCATGACACCTGGTGGGACACAGATTCCTCATCCCTGATTTAAACAGAAGACATTTTTTTCCCCTCTTACTCTGAATGGGGGCATTGACTGAGATTAGAAGCCCAAGTGAATTGCCCTCCCCCATGAACCTGGCACTGGCAGCAGGGGTCCCACAGCTGTATGTGTAGCCATTTCAGTGCTGAGGGGGGTGCTACCCACTTCTGAATGTCCTCCCACTCTCTGCAGCATAAATCCCCACATAGGGTACAAGTTTTTTGAGTTGTCTTCTGGAAATTGGTAACAGAAGGGTCCTGAGGCTACTGAGAGGCTGTAGCCCCTGCATGCCAGGAAGAAAGTCAAGGCAGGGGGAAGACCAACCTGGCCCCATCAATCAGCCAAAGAAGCAACGGGTGCTTGCTTCCCCCCTCCCTACCTTAAAGCATACAGTGGCACCTTGGCTGTCGAACTTCATCCATTCTGGGACTCCGTTTGACTCCTGGAACCGTTCGAAAACCAAGGCTGCAGGAGCTTCCTGCACTCAATCGGAAGCCACAGAAGCCGCGTCAGATGATCGGCTTCCAAAAAACGTTTGCAGACTGGAACGCCTACTTCCAGGTTTGCGGCATTCAGGAGACGATGTGTTCAGGAGACAAGCCATTCGACAACCAAGGTACCACTGTGCTCAGCTCTACCTGTCTGTGGTCCTGGAACTGCAGAATGGAACAGAAAGACACCCTAACCCCAACCATTGGCCGAAGGAACAAGAGCCTTCAACTGCTCTTGAAGAAAGAACACTAGAGTGGAGGCTGACCTAGTGGGGCACAAGGGTCATTGCCCCACCAACCTGAGTCTGCCCTCAGCCAGCTTCCACTTGCCTCCCTCCTTAATTGCATCTAGTCCAGAGGATGGCTCTGAGTGTCACCTTCCGCCTTACTCTCAGTGTAGCATTTGTATAACTCAGAAGCCAGAAGGATGAGGACTAACCTCGAGTTAGCTTGCCCCACCTGTCATTGTTTCAACTCCACCTACTTTTGGCCTCTCTGCCTTCTGTCTCCACCAGTCCCAATGGACTCTGGCTGCCAATGCTAGCAAAGGAAGATGTGCCTGGTCTGAACTGGATATAAGCACTCTCTTGTAACTCCCTACCTTGCTCTTACCTTGAAGAACCAATCTGCCCTTTCTAACTTTTCCCTCTGCTTCCCTTTCTTTGTCAGAGCCCTCATGTATTTTATTATTATTCCTTGTCTTAAAAGCAGGATAAAAAGACAGCAAACACATGGATAAGCTTTGGAACCTTCTACTTACGGTCTCTGCCGGCACCACACGACCCATAGCCATTCATATCTGCAATGCCCACACTGATGACGCAAAAATGGGACAGGGGGTTTGCCACTATGTAGGGCATAAGTATATCTGGCAGGTCATAGCTCCCCCAAGAGTACTCTGAGCCAGGAACTGGACTCCACTTCACTCCGCTCAGGAGATTCTCATTCACCGTGAGACCACCAAACTCCGAACTCTTCACCACCAAAAGAATAGAGTTCTGAAAACCGACCTGCCCATTCACATTGTACGAGAGGCTGTAACTTTCGATGTCTGGAATCCCTATCAAGAAGGTGTCGTAGCTAAAAGACTGGGTTCTCCCACCATTACTATAGAGGAGCACCTGTACCGGAACATCGGCCGAGAGGTAGACTGGGGTTTGGGGTGAGATCTGAATCTGCTGGATCTGCCCACCTCCCATGCTTATCGTCTGCTTTGATGTACCCATCTGGTAGTTCAGGATGGTGGCTTGGGATGCTGAGACATAAAGGGTGTCAGTTTTGGTCTGCCAAGGTATAGGAGGGGCCACAAACGTCTTCCCCCAGTTGGACACGGGCAGGAGCTGCTCAAAGACATGGTTGCATTTAGTGTACCTCCACGAACAGGCATGGCCGGACAGGACAGCCACTGGTAGCTGAGAGACAATCCTAGTGCCGGAGAGATCACCTACTCCTTGCAACTGGACTCCAGTGAAAGCATTTAGTGTCACACTCAGTTTACTTCCTGCGGTGTATGTTTGCCCATTGAAGGTCATTGGGCTCGTCAGGTGGATATTGACCACATTCGGTCCCTGGGTGGTTAAGACAGCAAACTCTTGTAAATATCCTGTAGGGCCTATGGCAGGACCCACAACATAATACTCAGTCCCTAAACTGCTCACAGGGTAGAGCAGAGCAGTTTCTGTGCTGTAAGGCTTGGAGCTCAAGGACACCACCGACACATCTTTGTCTGACTGGATCTGGACAACGCTAGAGAAAACTTTGCTGCCGATGATTTCCACAAAATTTGGGAGCTCAACTTGCACCATCTTCCCCTTATCGACAGTGAGCCTTCTTTCAAAGTTCTCTTCCTGCGGGCAGCCTTCACAAGGGACAGAGACTGTCACGGTGGTCGAGTCAGAGTAAGCGATGATCTGCACTTCAAGCTTGCCTCGCTGGTCAAAATTCTGCATAAAGGAGGTGGCAAAATGTGTCCCAAAGCTCTTACCGAGGCAGGTAACTATAAGGGCAGGCAGAAAAGAGAGTGAAGAAGAGGGTGGTAAAGGATATTGTAAGGTTAGACATGCTGAGTTAGAATGATTTCAGTCTCCTCCAGCCTTCTGTTTGCAATAACAACCTCTCAATGTATTCCCTTGCCCCCTAAAATGAATGCTCTTGTCCAGGTCTTCATCTAGCCAGGACAAGAGCTGTGTACTCCCACTGAGGTAGAAATGGTTGGCTCTGGTCCACATCAATTTCTCATGTGTTCATTTCTAAGGATTTGTAAGAGCCACATTTCATTCTAGGCAACTTTCTGTGGGCCCCAGGGCAGGCTGGGCTGGGCCAGAGGCAAATGTGGGCAGAGCAGCAAATGTAAATCTTACCCTTCCACAGTAGGCCAGTTTCTACGCCTGCTCACACACCCTTCTCTATCCTACATCTAGACGTGAGCCAGAGGAGCATGGGGCTTCAGTAAGCTGCTCAGCTGAGGCACAGAAGGCTCCCCATGCCACAGCCGAGGAGCCTCAACAAGTCTCTGGCTAGCAAGGAGACTCTCCCCAGTACCCAAAGAGATCCTCATTTGGCTCTGGGGTTGGTCTTCTGAGTGAGTTCCAGCACCTTTTTTCTACCTAGGTTTAAGGTGCTGGTTTTGACCTTTAAAGCCCTATGCGGCCTAGGACCCATGTACCTATGGGACCGCCTCTCCTGGTATGCCCCGCAGAGGACCTTAAGGTCCACAAATAACAACACTTTGGAGGTCCTGAGTCTCAAGGAGGTTAGATTGGTTTCAACTAGGGCCAGGGCCAGCACTGGCCCCAGCACTCTGTCACAAGAGACTAAGGCCCTGCGGGACTTGACTTCTTTCCGCAGGGCCTGCAAGACAGAGCTGTTCCGCCTGGCCTTTGGTTTGTACTCGGTCTGACCCTTATGTTTCCCTCCCCTTATGGTCTTGATTTATCAGCTACTTCAAAATGAGGCTGCATTTTAAATTGTATTTTAACCTGTATTTTAAATTGGGGGTTTTCCCACCCTCTCTTTTTCCCCTATTATGTTTTTACTGTGGTTTTATTGGTGTTAGCTGCCCTGAGCCCAGCTCTGGCCAGGAAGGGCAGGGTATAAATAAAATTTATTATTATTATTATTATTATTATTATTACCAAAAAAAGAGAGAAAGCACTGGGGATTCCTATGTTTCCTAGATAACTGGAGTGTTTTAACTCCTATAGCAAGGGTGTCAGGGGACCTTACGTTACAACTTATACAGCAGAAAATAATATTTAGAAGTTATCGGACTCCACTGCATTTGTATAGAAAAGGATATTCTAAGACATCATTTTGTTGGAGCTGTAATAAGTGTAATGCTTCTTTAAAACATATGTTTTTATAATGTCCTATACTTAGTAAGTTTTGGGGGGAAGTCATGAATTATATAAATATGACTGTGCGGAAAAAGCTAAAATTTTCGAAGGATAATATTCTTTTGAACTGTGTGCCTACTGTAGGGAATTTGACAACCAGGCAGCATAAATGGATTCTCTATGGCCAAAAGACTGATAATGCTGCATTGGAAAGATAAATATAAAGCTCCATTTATTCAATGGATTGAAGACCTGACTTCACTTCCCATTTATGAATGGGTTGCTTATAGACATAGACTCTGCAACGACAAGTATAATGAAATTTGGAAGTCATTTATACAAAATGCAGTAGGTTAAAAATGGTCATTTTTAACTGTTAACAATTGTAATAGCGGTATACTATTTTCTTTTTCCGCTTTTTCTTCTTTTATTCACATTTTTCTTTTTTAAAAAAAACATCTGTTTTGTAAAGAAAATGGAAAGAAAGAAAGAAAGAGGGTTCTGTCAAACCCCTAACTGAAGATTGTAGGTAGTGAACCTGGGATCTTCTGCAAATGTTTTATCATTAAACCACAGCCTTCCTCTTTCCTCCTGAAACATTCCAGCAAACATTTCCTCCGCAACCAAGTTCTCCTCTTCTACCAGATACGTCAGTGGTGGAGCGTGTTTTCATATCATTCGGGGCAGGGGCGTAGCTACTGGCTACGGCATCCGGAGCGGTAGGGGCTGGGCGATCTGCCCACGAGGGTGCCGCCACAATCCCACCTCCGCAAACTGCGCATGGCACCACTGCTGCTATCCACGCGTGGCACTGCTGCTGCGATCCGTGCACAGCACTGCTGCCGCTAACCCGCCACCACGATCACGGCAGTGGCAGGGGGGCGAGCGCCGCTCCACCGATCCGCCCGGAGGATTTTGTCACCCTCCCCCAGGGATGGCACCCAGGGCGGTGCCCCCCACCCACCCTCACCTTCCTCCTCCAGTGACTGGGGGGCACACGTTTCGGGGGGCAGAGTGTGATGGGCAAACAGAGCTGCCATGCACTAGCCCAGCCTGAGCCAGAGCAACACCAGCCCCGAGCTACTTTGCGAGGCTGGAATGATCCCAGCTTTGCAAAGTGCACCTGGCCCTGCAGCGCTTTGCGAGGCTGGGATCTCAGGGAGGGTGGCGTGAGAAGGATGCCATGCACCCTTTGATCCCAGCCTTATCTTTGAGGGCCTGGGATCAAAGGGTGCATGGCTGTCATGTCCTCCTCCCACCGCCCTCCCAAGCCAGCTCCATGGCAGAGGGCTGGCTCAGGGAGGGTGGCATAAGCAGCACACTCCCAAGAAAAATGTTCCTGGGATGCTCACCCCAGTAAGCCCTCTCTGCTATGCCCCTGACTCACATTTATCTGCTAGAAAACTGAGCAGCCTCCCTGTTTTCCCTATACCTCCATCACCCCATTTTCTTTTCTCAGCTGAGCTCTTGGAAGCTCCAAGGTGCCTGTCGGGCCATTGGGAGAGAGAGAGAAATATTCTTTGCCTTCTAATTACAAAAGCATATTGTTCTCCCACCTGTTTTCTTCAGTTCGAAGCCATTGCCTCCATTCTCATTAATACTCACCCCAGAATGCTGAGCTCCAGACCCAAAGGCAGATGAGGAAGAAGCTTGTCCTCCCCATGGCTGGACAAGGAAAGAGAGAGAAGAAATCGTGTTTGGATATTATTTATTTTTGTATTATTTCACCAGATATATATATATATACCACTTGATTGTAGAAAAAGACCTCAAAGGCGTTTACAGAAAAGATAAAATATAAAGCGACAGAATTATTACTTTTTTAAAAATGCAACCATCATTTAAGACATACAGAAAGTTAAGGCTACAATAAAATAGCCTAAAACAAATTAAAACTCATACAAACTGGACAGGCTTTCCTAAATAATAGTATCTTCAGCAGGCACCCGAAAGAATACGGTGAAGGAGCCTGCCTGATATCAATAGGCAAGGAGTTCCAATGTTTCAGTGCTGCCGCAGTAAACAATCAAGTTCTTACAGATGTGGTGTGAGTATTATGCGGCACCTGTAAAAGTGCCAATTCTGCTGATCAAAGTGTTCGAGTGGATACATATGGGGTAAGTTAATGGGGTACAGAGACTGGAGCTTATGGTGCACTGTCCTCAGCCAGACTCTGCCTGCCTGCCTTCGTATTTGCAACCAAGCCCGGCTATCAGTGTCCTCCTCCTTAGTCTCGGTTTCCCCTCCTAGAACTCTGCAGGGAAGGAGATGGGGACAAATCTAGCAGCAATCAGTTCCGTCTGTCAATATTTTTGCCTTCGCCTGTTAGCCTCCCTGCCTTTGCCGATCCAATCACAATAGGCATCAGCCACCACTAAACATAGCTAGTTTACTATTGTTCCAACCAGGAGTCAGCAAACTTTTTAAGCAGGGGGCTGGTCCACTGTCCCACAGACCTTGTGGGGGGCTGGACTATATTTTGGAAAGAAAAAAAAAGTGAATGAATTCCTATGCCTCACAAATAACCCAGAGATGCATTTTAAATAAAAGGACACATTCTACTCATGTAAAAACACACTGATTCCCAGACTGTCCGCGGGCTGGATTGAGAAGGCGATTGGGCCGGATCTGGCCCCTGGGCCTTAGTTTGCCTACCCATGTTCCATGGGTGTGTCACACTGCTGTCACCTCCCAGAAGTTCCTGTGAACTTATCTCCAAAGAGTCTCTCCATCTTGGCACGTAGGAACAAAACACTCCTGAGGCTCCCTGAAGACTAACTTAAGAACCCAAGAAGAGCCTGCTGGATCAGGCCAGTGGCCCGTCTAGTCCAGAATCCTGTTCTCACAGTAGCTGAACAGGTGCCTGAGAGAAACGGGCAAGCTGGATATGAGTGCACAAGCACTCTGCCCACCTGTGTTTCCCCACAACTGGAATTAAAAACTACACTCTCTTTGACATCGCCATTGTGGGTAGTAGCCACAATGTAGTAGATTTGGCTAATCCCCTTTTAAAGCCATCCAAGATGGCGGCCCTCCCTGCCTCCCATGCAAGCAATTAAGGGTGTCCATTATAGTGGTGGCTAGATTGTGCCTCCCCAATCCCCTTAAGCAAGAGCCGACTTCCCCGACTAAAGACTAAGGGTGTCCTTCATGAAGGTTAAGTCCATCCATGGCCAGCAGGAGCCATATGCTTCTGGAGACCAGTTCCTGAGGAGCACAAGTGAGGAGAGTACCGTTGCACACAGGTCCTCCCTGCAGGTTTCCCATAGGCATCTGCTGGGACCCATGAGACCAGGTTGTTGGGCTAGATGGGTGTTTAGCTTCGTCTAAAATAGGATGGGGCTGTGCTGAAGGACAAAGGAAGTTAAGGAGAACAGTAAGAAACTCTGTAGCTCCTTAAAAGACCAATAAAGCTATGTTGTTGCATTTGCTTCTATAGGCTCAGGGGTGCCAACCTGGATAAAATATTGGGGGGGCGGTAAGCCCTGCCTCATATAATTGATCACAAGACATGGCACATGCACACCATTTGAATGGCAAGCCCCTGGCCCCCCTCAAATATTTAATGGGGGTGTGAAAGGACCTCTGCCCCTACAAGCTGGATCCTATGTACAGTGGTGCCTCGGGTTAAGTACTTAATTCATTCCGGAGGTCCGTTCTTAACCTGAAACTGTTCTTAACCTGAACCACCACTTTAGCTAATGGGGCCTCCTGCTGCTGCCGCACCGCTGGAGCACAATTTCTGTTCTCATCCTGAAGCAAAGTCCTTAACCTGAAGCACTATTTCTGGGTTAGCGGAGTCTGTAACCTGAAGCGTATGTAACCTGAAATGTATGTAACCCGAGGTACCACTGTATAGGCTAAAACCCTTTATTCTTAGATGAAATTTACAAGGTGGCAGCTGAAACCAATGAACATGATCCAGCCAAAGTTTAAACATTCTCCGATTCTACGAGATCCAACTGGAGTTCAATTTATGCTGAATTCCCCAGCTGAACTCAATTACGGCTGGAGTACAACTCCTATCATTCATGAGGAGAAGCCATATTAGAGCCCAACAACATCTGAAAAGTGAGATTCTCTGGCCCTAGTTTAGTCCAGAATCTAAACCCACTAAATGTCGTGACGTTCCCAGTTTCTTCTAATTCCAATATCAAACATGGAAACGTCTACTGCCAGCCTTGCCATGTTGTCTGCAATGGTCATCCTCAAATCATCCAGAAATGCAGGGCATGACCATCATTTAGCACATACTCACCTGCAGAAGGGTGCTGTGAATCCCACAATTGAATTATTTTCATCCCCATATATAGGCTCCCTTTATCCTCATCCCAGAAGTGTGTTATTTGCATTTCCTCATGGCTGGAAAGAAAGACAAGTTCAACTGGATCCTTTAACATTCATCCATAAAATATAACATTCCAGGTGGGGTACAGAATTCTAGTTACAGGGTCCCAGTGGAATCTAATATTTCCACATACAATGGTTTTTTTAAAAAATATTTTTTATTAGGAATTTGAACAAAACATATTATCTTAAAACATATCATCTTTAATTCCCCCCCCCCATTTCCCCCTCCCATAAGACGACCTACCCTACCCTCCGCCCCTGACTTCCCTCAGCTCCAATCTCTGGTTTCTTTACAGATGCTATTCTCTGCATGTTACAAAATTGTATAAATCCTTAATTTATCTGACTGATTATTGTCAAAAAAAAGTTTGTGAGTGTTTATTGAAAGCCTACCAAGGAGTCCAGTTCACTTTGTTGCTTCTTTAAGTACTTTGTAAAAGGTTCCCATTCATCTTAAAAGTCACAGTTATCCTTTTCCCGTAGTTTATGTGTCAGTTTTGCCAATTCTGCATAGTCCATCAGTTTCTCTTGCCATAGTTCTATAGTTGTGGTATCCTCATTCTTCCATCCTTGTGCTATTAGGACTCTCGCCACCGTTGTCGCATACATAAAGATATTTTTCACCTTCCTTGGCAAGACTTTTCCTACAATCCCTAACAGAAATGCTTCAGGTTTCTTAACAAATGCTAGATGGAACAATTTCTTCAATTCATTGTACAGTGGTACAATCGGGTTAAGTACTTAATTTGTTCTGGAGGTCCGTTCTTAACCTGAAACTGTTCTTAACCTGAAGCACCACTTTAGCTAATGGGGCCTCCTGCTGCTGCTGCTGCGCCGCCAGAGCACGACTTCTGTTCTCATCCTGAAGCAAAGTTCTTAACCCGAGATACTATTTCTGGGTTAGCAGAGTCTGTAACCTGAAGCGTATGTAACCTGAAGCATATGTAACCCGAAGTACCACTGTATATCATTTCCCAAAACTTTTTAATTTCAATATAGTCCCACCACATATGGTAAAATGTCCCCTCCTTTTCCTTACACTTTCAACACATATTTGAGCTGGTTAATATTTCCACGTACAGTGTTGACCACACAACATAAAAGGCAGCTAAAACACACACACATACACACAGAATGAAATTTAACTGAATTTTTAAAAACACCCTGGTCCTATATGTCTGTGTAGATATTTCTACAGAATATTCTGGGTAAATTACACTGGTCAACAACAAATTTGTTGTCAGCGTTTTTTCAGCTGATTTAGGACGAATCTGATGCGCTGAATCCAAAAATCACATTGGTTTTGCTCAATCAGGTCAAGTTTTTGAGCTATGGCCACATGTCGTTTTTCTACGTTTTTGATCACATGTACGCTTGTGTGGAGCATTTTAGAAGAAGTTGGTGGGGGTAAAATGCCATGTCGAATAATTGT